CTTGCAGCACTGTCTTCCCAGGTTGGCAGCAATCGCCTTGCCCCTTTTCAGAAGGCAGTCTAGCCCTAATTATCACCAAGAACTATAGTCGGTCTGGATATTGAAGTGACCTAGCCCCTTAGGGGAGCTTTCAGTCAAGATTTTGAAAGGCAAGAAAAAGGTTGGTAGAGGGAGCAAGTTGAAAGGCAGAACTAGTAAAAGTTCAAGCCATTTGCTAGAAAGGGAAGGGCTTCAATACAGTTGCTTCCTTTTTTTTTTTAAGATTTTATTTATTTATTTATTTACTTGATAGAGAGAGCGGGAGAGCACAAGCAGGGGGGAGGGGCAGAGGGAGAAGCAGGACTAGATCCCAGGACCCTGGGATCATGACTTAAGCCGAAGGCAGATGCTTAACTGATTGAGCCACCCAGGCCTGGCCCCTGTTTTGGTTTTTTGTTTGTTGTTTTTACTGTTCTTTCGATTCAAGTTTGCTCATCAAGTGTATTTTATGGCCTATCATTTAATAGTTCTGAGAAATGACTCGCAGATGGCAACAAGAAGATGGCAATATGAAATATTATTTGTGGTTAAGTTGGCTCCTCCTGTGTCCAAACATGTTTTGTTTCATGGTTAATATCATCAGACTTTTGTTTTTATTTTATTTTAAGATTTTATTTATTTATTTGACAGAGACACAGCGAGAGAGGGAACAGAAGCAGGGGGAGTGGGAGAGGGAGAAGCAGGCTTCCCACTGAGCAGGGAGCCCGATGTGGGGCTTGATCCCAGGACCCTGGGACCGTGACCTGAGCCGAAGGTAGACACCCAATGACTGAGCCACCCAGTTGCCCCATGATCAGACTTTTAGAAGGCCAGCAAAGGACATGAGATGAAGTGGGAATAAGACGCCTTCTGTATCCCTCCCCTTTCTCAACAATTTAATCCTAAAGCCATTAGAGGTGAGAGTAAGATAGGCATCCATAGATGTAGGGCAGGAATGGGGTGTGCCGGGGGGTCTGGTACTTCATATAAAATACACTTGATGAGCAAACTTGAATCGAAAGAACAGTAAAAACAACAAACAAAAAAACCAAAACAGGGGCCAGGCCTGGGTGGCTCAATCAGTTAAGCATCTGCCTTCGGCTTAGGTCATGATCCCAGGGTCCTGGGATCTAGTCCTGCTTCTCCCTCTGCCCCTCCCCCCTGCTTGTGCTCTCCCGCTCTCTCTATCAAGTAAATAAATAAATAAATAAAATCTTAAAAAAAAAAAGGAAGCAACTGTATTGAAGCCCTTCCCTTTCTAGCAAATGGCTTGAACTTTTACTAGTTCTGCCTTTCAACTTGCTCCCTCTGCATAAATGTAAATTTACAGACAAGTTGCAAAGACAGAGGAGAGAGTTCCCCAATGTCCTTCATTCTGTTTCCCCTAATTTTAACATTTTACTCCAATCAGGGTGTGGAGGATATCTACTTCAAGGGGTGGATTGGCCTGGGGAGTCCAAGCTGAAAAGAGGTGGGGAGAAAAAAGCTCAAGGAAGGGGATGGTGGCCAAGTTGAAGATTAGTTTCATACAAGGGAATTGCTCAAATAATTAAATACGTCAAGGTTGATGAAAGTCAAGTTTCTCACTGCCAGAGAAGGAAGGTACAAACCTGGAAAAGGAAAAGACTAGAGTGAACCTGTGGTCTTAGATCGGAATTGGTGATACTAGTAAGAACTCATGATTTTCAATGTATATGGATGAAATGTGTGCATGTGTGTGTATATATATATTCCCTAGTTTTGATATATTCCCTAGTTTTGTCCACAGAGAGCTTGAGAGCAGTGAAACTCTAATAACAATGAAGACACCTAACACCCAGAGCTTAGATAGTAAATACCATTTTCCAGTGAAAGGAAATAGAGCTTCCAGTTTTAGGCATTATTCTAGAGAAAGAACTCAACTGGCATGCAGAGGTATATACTCAAGAATATTCACTGTGAGGTGCCTGGCTGTCTCAGTCGGTAGAGCATGCAATCTTGACCTCGGGTTGTAAGTTCGAGTTCCACGTTGGGTGTAGAGATTACTTAAAAATAAAAATCTTAAAAAAAAGAATATTCAATGCAATATTGTTTATAAGTTAAATACTGGAAACAACCTATATACGTGGCTATGTAAGTATGGCACTTATAGACAATGGGATCCTTCACAGTTATTTAAAAAGAAGGATATGGATCTATGTTCATCAGCATGGAAGGTTTCCATTATATATTTTTGCAAAGATCAAAAACAGCATTTATAGTATGAATATTATTTATATACAATTGCATGTGTACATGTGTTTATACATAGAGATAAATGAATGATGTTCACCAAAATAATAAAATTGGTTACCTCTGGATAGGTGGGATTTAGGATTTGATTCACTTTCTATTTTAAAGAAGAAACTTTAAATTTTGGAATAAATTTAGATTATAGAAAAGTTACAAAGACAGTGGAGAATTCTCAAATGTCCTCCACCCCGTTTTTTCTAATGTTTACATGTTATATTAACTATGATACAATTATGAAAATTAAGAAGTTAACACTGGGGTATTACAATTAACTAGACTACAGACTTCATTCAGATTTCACTAGTTTTTCCACTAAGGTGCTTTTTCTGTTCCAGGATTGTATCCAAGATTCCATATTACATATAGTCCTCATGTCTCCTCTTCTGAACTGTGATAGTCTTTTCTTGTTTTTCATGACCTTGACAGATATTTTGTAAAGTGCTCTTCAATTTGGGTTTGTCTGATGTTTTCCCCATGATTACAGTAGAGTTGTGGGTTTTTGGAAGGATGCTACAGAGATAAAATGTCCTCATCACACATTTTAGGGGGCATGTGATACCAACATGACATCACTGATGATGTTTACCTGGGTCATTTGGTTAAGATGGTGTCTGCCAGTTACTGTTTTTCCCTTTCCATACTCTATTCTCTGGAAGCAAATCACTAAGTCAGCCCTCACTCAAGTGGAGATGAATTAAGCTTTACCTCCTAGTGGCAGTTATATACATGTATTATATAGAATTCTTCTGTAGGAAGAATTTGTCCCTTCTCCTCTATTTATTCATTCAGTCATTTCTTTATATCAGCATGAATGCATGTATACTTATTTGATACTTGGGGTTGTAACCCAACACGGTGTTATTTTGTTGCTCAACTGTTCCCAGCTTTGGCCACTAGGTGGTCTTATAGCTTGGCTCCTCTGTTTTTTAACTGCCCTCATCCTTTTGTTTGCTTTTTAGCCACTTTCTTTATATATTTGGAGGAGTGGAAATATTGCTTGAATTTTCCACTAGTATTATCTTCATGATTAGAAAAGTATCAGTTATTTTCACTTAAAATTCGGGGGTGGGGGAGATATGACCACTACTTTGATATTCTACCAACCAATTCCTGCTTGTTTCTCAAGGGCTTGGTAAAGCAAATAAAGCAAAGAACAATTTCTTGTAGAAATTGTACTTCAGTGGGTGTCTGTAAATGGTAAGTAAAATGATAGCAAATGGAATGAACTTTAATAGTTTTCAAGTGTTTGGGTGTTAGGTTTGTTAAAAAAAAACTTCCAGGACAGAGGTTTCCATTAATCATTCAGCAATGCCGATTGCACACCTGTGGCAGGCAGTGGGAAGACACAAAATCAAGGGGGAGGAGGGACACCTGGGTGGCTCAGTCCGTTAAGTGTCTGCCTTCCACTCAGGTCATGATCCCAGGGTCCTGGGATGGAGTCTAGCATCAAGCTCTTTGCTCAGCAGACAGCCTGCTTCTCCCTTTGCCTGCGGCTCCCCCTGCTTGTGCTCTCTCTCTGACAAATAAATAAAATCTTTTTTTTAAAAAGATTTATTTATTTGAGAGAGCGAGAGTGAGAGAGAGTACATGAGAGGGGAGGAGGGTCAGAGGGAGAAGCAGGCTCCCCGCTGAGCAGGGAGCCCGATGCGGGACTCGATTCCGGGACTCCAGGATCATTACCTGAGCCGAAGGCAGTCGCTTAACCAACTGAGCCACCCAGGCGCCCAATAAATAAAATCTTAAAATAATAATAAAAAAAAAATCAAGGGGAGGAGGCATGAGTTAGGAGGCCAGATTAAGGGAGGGAGGTAATGGTAAGTATGCTTTTGAGTAAGAAACTCTTCTGTACTGTATCATTACCCGAGTGTAGTGTTAGACCTGAAGGACAGAGTTAAAACAATACTTATACTCTTGAGAACTGGTGCAGGTTGTGGTCAAAGGGACAGGCCAAAAGACATCATGTCCGATCAATTAGTGGGAGTGCTCTGGGAGGAGGCTGTAATAGTCGCAACAGCAAACCCTTATTATGAACCAGATGTTCTTATAAACCTTACTGCTCTTCTATGAAGCAGCTGCTATCATTACCATCGTGCAGAACCGAGGCAGAGTTTACATAACGTGCCCAAGCCTACACAACGGGGAATGAACTGAGACTGGAACTCTGGCTAACGAATGAGGCGACGTTTGAAAGGGAAGGCGCCTCTCGCCCAGTACTAGCTGGTTCCATCACCACGTTCCCTTGCATTTTTCCCTCCTTCTTAGGTATGTGTCATTTCTCCCACATTTCAGCACCAAGGCCGCTCAAGCCCCAGGGTGGCAGTTAGGGACTTCCCAGAAAAGTGAAGGGACTTGCAGAAGCGACTGCCGACATGAGGCTGACCCTGGGAGGCGGCCACAGGCTGAAGTAGCGTCTATCCCCTCCTATCCTCTGGGGGCTCACTGGGGCACCTCCAACAACCCTACTCCTGGCCGGCGCAGCTATTTCAGATTCGGGCTTCCGAATTCCGGGAAGGACCCCTTCCGGCGGTACCGGAAGTCCGGCGGGGACCCTTTCGGGGACGGACAGCCGGACTGACCGAAGGCAGTCCCGGGTCCGCAAGGTGAGCTCAACTTTGCTTCAGAATCCGGACGCCCAGGCCTAATGTAGGAGCGAAGTGAGTGGGGTTCCTTTGCCGCGTCGTCCCAGGGAGCGTGTGTTGTTTGGCCTGAAGTGGCAGTGGCACCGGCTGTAAACACTGAGCGACCGGAAGCCTTTCTGCGGGGCGTTTAATCCCTGCATGACCCCGCCTCAGGCGTAGCGAAAGCGTTATTCGCCCCGAAGCGGCGGGCTGGCTTCCACTCCCCGCGCGACCCGGCTGCCCGGCTCGGGTTCGAGGCGAAGCCACACCAGGGCCGTCATTTTTCTACAATGACTTCTTTTTACCTTTCGGATAAATTCCAAGGCTGACACCTCCTACATTCGGCCGTTTCCACCAACGCAGCCACGTCTTTCCAGCATCTCTTTTCAGATTCCATGATAAGAATATCCTAGCTGCGAAAGAACACCTAATTGGGAGCAAGACAGCCTGTCTTCTAGGCCTGTCATTAATTGGTGGTATGACATTGGAGAAATCTTTTTGACCTCTCTGGATTCTTCATTTTCCTTTTCTGTGAAATGAGGAGCTTGGAATAGAAGTAGCGAGTAAGGTTCCTTTCAGTTTTCACAGCTGGATTATTGCCCCCAGTGTGTTTTTCTGATTCCTGCCTCAGTTATCTGTGCTTTGGTTAGTCTCCATGTAGTGCTTTTCTTTCCATTCCGTTAATTTATGCCCTTGTCAGGTCTGGTTTTAGACTCATTAAAATTTTTTCCCTAAAAGAATCCCTTCACTTCTTAAGCCAGGGACATGTACCTAAATAAGATTTTTTAAAATGTGCCATTCTTGAGGTGTTTCCTGTGCCTGAAAATCTTATATTGGAGCTCTTTAAAGACAGGAAGTTCTGAAGGAAGGGACTCTAGCTCATTAAACTTTGAATCAACATCCTCAAATGTAATGTCTCGAAGATGGTACTCAGGAAATACTTGTTGAGGAGAAAAAACGTACGTCTCACATTATTTTAGTTGCTCTTTAAAAAATGAAAAGCAAAGCTGTAGAAATGCAGTACTGAAAGCAGAAAGAAGACTCAAGGAGAAAAATAACTATACTCTTGAGTTCTGAACTACACCATTGAGTTCTGTTGCAGTTTTCTCTTAGGTAACTCTTCTTTCATTCCAAGAATAATATTCAGAAGGCATTATTCAATAGATATTTATTAGGTGCCTTCTTCCCTCTCTAAAGCATCTTTTTGGGGGGAGGGGGAGGTGGGAAGAGGGAAAAATATTGAGGCTTGAAAGACAATTCCAAGAAGAGATAGCATATGCAAAGGTTCAAAAATGAGATGACAAGCCATTGGAGATTACAGGGGGTCAGAAGAACAAAAGTTTGGAGATAGGAGAGAGGGAACTGTAAGAGTGTAAGACATGAAGTGAGAGGTTAGCAGAGGGCAGATAATGAGTCCTTATATATATAGCATATTTTTTTGAAACGGGATAGTGGCCAGCCACTGGAGGGTGTTTAGCAAAGAGCTGATGAGCTCAAATTTGCATTTTAGAGAAATCACTCTAGTTGTGATCTGGTTAGTTGATGTTTCAAGAATGAAAAAAAAAATCCCTTTGTAAGTTGTATTTCAGTTCTATTGTGGTAGGAACATTAACAATAATGATAGTTAACATCTAGAGAGTAGTTAGTATGGAATTCCATCTCCCTGATTAGGCTGTGAGTTCTTTCAGGGCAGGATTCTAGCTCTACTTATTGTTTTAACTCCAGCATAGTGTTTTTCATGGAGTAGATATCCACTTAATATTTGCTAACTTGATTTTCATATTAACCAAGATACTATTTTAAAACTTTCTCCAGGGGAAACATGAACCAGAAGATATTGAAATTGGAGAACTTGCTACGATTTCACACTGTCTTTAGGCAGCTGCACAGCCTAGGTCAAAGAAGAATGTTAGCACAATGGAATCATGTGTTTTCATCTGCTTACCCGGTGTGGACAGCTCAGCTCTGCATCCGGCCCTGGCAAACAGACCGGCTCATTGGGGCGGCTTTATCTCAATATAGGCTTCTAGTAACCAAGAAGGTAGGTATAGGTTTCTATCAGTTACTAATTATTTGGCCTGAGATGAAAGTGCCTATAGCCATGAGTAGAAATCCATTTTGGGTATTTTGTAATTTCCAGAATCTTTATTCCTTAATGCTGCACTCCAGGCAGTAAATCTTTGTGAAGAAGGGAAGTTCTAATTTGTTGTTCAGTAATGCTGATGAATTTGATTACTTGGAAATTAGCATATAATAGTGAATTAGGGGTGCAGGACTGTAAATTTTAGTCTGAGGTTTAACTACTTGTGGGAGTGTTGGTAGAAATAGGAGCCATTATTATGGTAAGATATTCCAGAATAAATCTACAGTCACTTAAAAGTTTTTTTTTTCCTTCTGTATGCGTCCTGAATTTTTAATAGGAAGAAAGATCACAGAAATCTCAGTTATTTTCAACAAAATCCAAAAAGGAGGTGGAGGTATGGATTGGAATGACTATTGAGGAACTGGCCAGAGCAATGAAAAAAGACGTAGGTGGGTCAGATAATTTTATGAGGAAAATATGGGAAATGGAATACCTGGCATTTTTATTTGCAATGAAACCAAGACATTCAAAGATGAAAATTAGACTGATGGTTTAAAAAGATGTTAAATCATTCCAGTATTTTTCACTCTAGGTCACAAACTCTTATTAGTTTCTTACCTCTTTGCCAAATATAGTTCTCTAAGATTTTGCTTTTAATACAAGTGGAAAATATTTTCTTAACTGCACTAACCCTTGTTTCTCAGAAAAAAATTTTTTTTTAAGATTTTATTTATTTATTTGACAGAGACACAGCAAGAGAGGGAACATAAGCAGGGGGAGTGGGAGAGGGAGAAGCAGGCTTCCCGCTGAGCAGGGAGCCCAATGTGGGACTCGATCCCAGGACCCTGGGATCGTGACCTGTGCCAAAGGCAGACGCTTAACGACTGAGCCACCCAGGCACCCGTTTCTCAGAAATTCCATAGGCTTTTAGAGTAAGTCCAAAGAATGTTTTTGGACTGAAGGACCGTATTTATATTTACTTACTTTCCCTTTGTTGTCTGTGATTTCTGATTTTCTTTTTCACTCGTAACAATATCTGTAGTGCCAGCAGAAAAATATTTTTAGTAGTAACTTTTAATAATACTATTTTTATTTATTATTATTATTATTTAAAGATTTTATTTATTTATTTGAGAAAGAGACTGAAAGAGAGCACAAGAGGGAATAGGGTCAGAGGGAGAAGCAGACTCCCCGCCAAGCAGGGAGCCTGATGCAGGACTCAATCCCAGGACTCCGGGATCATGACCTGAGCTGAAGGCAGTCATTTAACCAACTGAGCCACCCAGGCACCCACTATTTTTATTTATAAATGTATAGCATCATTGTCCTTTTTTTTTTTTTTTTTTTAAATTCCTTCATTGCATTCTTGGTGTATTTATTACCAATTTAGGATTATTGGAACAAAATTTGAGTTCTCATTATAAAGTGACATTACAATTCAGTAAATGGGGTGCCTGGGTGGCTCAGTCGGTTAAGCATCTGCCTTCGGCTCAGGTCAAGATCCCAGGGTTCTGGGATCGAGCCCTACATCAGGCTCCCTGCTCAGTGGGGAGTCTGCTTTTCCCTCTGCCTTTGCCCTCTCTCCCCCAGCTTGTGTGAGCACTCTCTCCCTCTCAGATAAATAAATAAAATCTTAAAAAAAAAATAAAATTCAGGGCGCCTGGGTGGCTCAGTTGGTTAAGCGACTGCCTTCGGCTCAGGTCATGATCCTGGAGTCCCAGGATTGAGTCCCACATCGGGCTCCCTGTTCAGCAGGGAGTCTGTCCCCTCTGACCCTCTTCCCTCTCGTGCTCTCTATCTCTCATTCTCTCTCTCAAATAAATAAATAAAATCTTTAAAAAAAATAAAATTCAGTAAATAAGAAATAGCCTATCATTGTAGCAAAATAAAGTGACAAGGCAGACTGTTGGGAAAAAAAGTAATAACTCATATTATTGAGCTGTTACTATGTACCAGTACTTTATATATATTAACTCATGTAATTCTCACAATGCACCACAGGTAGATGTAATTATTACCCCTATTTATAGGTTGAGAAACTGAGGCATGGAGAGGATAAATAATTGCCACAGTATGTGGTAGAGTGAGGATTTGAACTCAGGGAGTATGGCTACAGAGGCCATGCTCTTATTCACAGACCAGATTATCTCTCAAGAATTGTTATTTTATAAATTACAGCAGAGCTAGAATTTTAATGTGTTTCCTGCCTGAAAGTGTTACCACTCTTTGTACATATGCATCCTTAGAAAGAATAGAAAATTCACCTAGTCTTGCATTTTTATAACTTTGCAGGGGATTATGTAATCATTTTATTAAAAAAGCTTTAAGAGAACAAGTACATATGGCTGTATCATTGATAATTTTTCCAAAGAAAACTGTATTGATATAATTTTATAAATAATATTGATAATAGATGTGACTTTTAAGACTTTTATTATGGGCAGTTTTCATCCATATATGAAAGCAGAAAGAATGGAATAATAAGTATAATATATGCATAAGCCAGTGACAATTATTAATCTCTCAACCCATAATTATTTCTGTATTTATCACTTAAAGATGAGGATTCTTTCTTTTCTTTTATCTGTTTATTTATTTTAGAGAGAGAGCGAGAGAGCTGCACAAGTCAGGGGGAGGGGGCAGAGGGAGAGGGAAAGAGAATCCCAAGCAGACTCCCTGCTGAGCGGGGAGCCTGAGGCGGCTCTATCCCAGGACCCATGAGATCGTGACCTGAGCTGAAATCCCAAGGCAGCTGCTCAACCAACTGAGCCACGCAGGCTCCCTGAGGATTTTTTTTAAACATTGCCTCTCCCCCCATAACTGTAATAATCCTTTTGTATTGCCAAATAAATAGTATAATTAAAATATAAGTTTAATCCTATGGATTGGTGCTCTAGCCCCAAAATTGATACATAATTTAAATAAAAGTTATCTCTTTGAAGCTTATTTAATATTATATTTGCATGTCATTTGAATTAAAGATGGCGAATATTTTGGGGGCACATGGGTGGCTTAGTTGGTTATGCATCCGACCCTTGATCTCAACTCAGGTCTCAATTTCAGGGTCGTAAATTCAAGCCCTCTGTTAGACTCCATGCTGGGCATGGAGCCTACTTAAAAAAAAAAAAAAGATGGTAAATATTTTTAACTATTATATTAGCAATGTGAGTAGATTTTTTTCCTCCCCTGGGTCAATTAAAATAAGATGTAATATTTCTGGTTGAATTGCTTTGGGCACTTTTCTATTTGTAAACGTTTAAGTCTTGGATAAAGATAAAATAATATGTTAATACTAAATGCATTTAATATAGAGGGAAAGAGATTCTCTGTATAAGCTACTTTTTTTTTTTTAAAGATTTTATTTATTTGAGAGAAAGAATGAGAGAGAGAGCACATAAGAGGGGGGAGGGTCAGAGGGAGAAGCAGACTCCCGGCCGAGCAGGGAGCCCGATGCCAGACTCGAGCCCGGGACTCCAGGATCATGACCCAAGCTGAAGGCAGTTGTTTACCCAACTGGGCCACCCAGGCGCCCTGTATAAGCTACTTTCAAAAGTTTAGGATAACGAGGGAAAACTGTAGTTACTGCATTATTAGGGATTTTAGCATTAGTAGAAACAGAATTGTACTCATTATAATTTAAATGTTTAGAGTTTTATTGTTCTCTGAGTGCATATCCATATAGAAAATTTGCACTGTATCATTCTTTTAAAATGTGCTTTCTTGGGAAAGGTTGTGGTGGGGCTATACATAGGAAAGGGTTTAGGCTTTACAGGGTAGGATCAGTGATGTGTGGGCCTGGCTTGCACCAGCTTTTGGGCCAATTGCTAACTTCTGAGGAAGTATGTGAGCTGGTAAAAACAACCATTACAAAAATTAAATCATAAACAAAGGTAATAAATACTCATCAAACCCCTCACTCCTAATTATTTTTACTGTGTTTTGCTATTTTCTGTGTTCTTGAGGTTACTTATGCCATGTACCTAAATGGTGGGAGTAAATGGTGTGCTACTGCCCATCTCTTTCCATCTCTGTGTTCAGTGACTTCATGTTGGTAGCTGTAATCAACCATGGTGGGAGTATTCGCACTATGGAAATTGAGAAATGCTATAACAATCAGGGATTTTTTTTTTTTTGGAGAGTCTTGTGAGTAAACATTTACCTGCACACTAGTGAATAGGATATTCTTTTCATATAGTATTCTGCTTATTTGGGGATCCCTTTGTTTCACATCTGTTTCTCGAAATACATATTTAAAGAGTGAAAGTTTAGAAACATAAATCTACTTTATTTCATTATCATCACAGATACATTCATTTATCATCTACAGGGAAATATGACTGAAATGAAAACAAAGTACATTAAATAAAATGCAAAAAAGAATACCAAGTAAATATTTTTCCTATATTTCAAGACTTTTTGGACACCCTAAATAGGTACATAAATAAATTATATGTATGTTTATTCTGAAACACCGTGTATGTGTATGTGTGCGTGTATACACACAATTGGTACTTGTTATTTGGGGATTTTGTATTGCCGAATTCTCTAAAATATTTATAGCCCCCAAATCAATATTCAGAATACTTTTGCAGTCATTCCTGGACATGCCTGGAGCAGTGAAAAATTTGAGTTGCCCAATCACACATTCCCAGCTGAGGTTCAACAAGGCAACATTTAGCCTTTTTGCTTTAGCTCTTATGACAAAATGACAGTCGTCATTTTGTGGCTTATTTAAGTGTCATGTTTTCACATTTTTGTTCTTTTTGTTGATTTTGCTGATTAGCCTAAGCATAGTGCTGAATGAAGTAATGTTTAGTGTTACTAACTTGCAAGAAGGCCGTAATGTGCTTTACAGAGAAAATACATGTGTTAGATAAACTTTGTTCATGTACTGGGTTTAGTGCTTTTGGCTGTAAGTTCAACGTTACCGAATTGACAATATATATTAAATAAGATGTCTTGAAACGGAAACACGTAATATGTATTGATTGGCTAATGAAGATGTGATCAGGAACTCTAGGAACCTAACCTTGTATTTCCCCTTAGAGTGATGTTTTAGTAGTTATTAATTCAGTATTTGTGGTGGGATTATAGAACATACCCACCACGAATAATGAGAATCGATTATCTATGTGTACACATTTGTATATGCATGACATATGTAACTACAAGTTCTCAAAGAACTAGGCTGTGATAAACTGCTCAGTGTAAATGTATACAACATGTAATGTTTTATTGGTAGCTCAGATGATTCTTATGGTACCTAAATATTCAAATATTTATAAATGAAGTAATGTCGTTAATATAAATGAATCATATTTTAAAGATTATTTTCTTTCAGCTTGTTTGTGATTTGTTAACATTAGAGGAACAGCTTATAAAGTTATTCTCTTCATTGAATGTACTGTTCATATATCGATATTTATTAGTAGAGGTTACTTCTGTGAACATTTAATTCATGATCCTAAAAGGTCTTATCTGTTCCACCCAGATCATGTATATGGAGCTTTAATGAACACTGCTGTTGACATAGATTCACTAGAAGCACACTCACATTTAGATGAAGTCTGGATCAAAGAAGTGGTAAAGAAGGCGGGGATGAAGTTAAAATGGAGCAAATTAAAACAGGACAAAGTCAGAGAAAATAAAGATGCTGTAAGAAGGTAAAACTTAACCATGTATATTGGAGGAAACCACATAGTTTCATTCACACTTTATAATGGAAAAATATACCTTAAAATTTTTTTGCCGTTAAAATGACGTGGGAGTGTAGATTAAACTTTTCTTCAAAATGTTTAAAACATCAGTAAGTATATTCAGGTTATAGAACTCTGAAGGTTATTTTTCTTAGTTTGCCGAGTATGTATATTGATCCTGAACTTAAAAATCTTACTCTGTCTGCTTATTGTTACGAAGATGCCAACTGTACGTGGGCAGTCATTATATACTTTGCCATAGGTCATTGTACTTACGAAAGAGGAAGATAGTTACATCTAATCAAAGCTGAATGTTGGGTTTTATTGTAATGGTAGTTCACAGAGATGACTGCAAACCAATTCACTGGCTATAAAGATATTTAAGAAATGAAACTCCTTTGCTGTTAATTGTAGGCCTCAGGCAGATCCAGCTTTATTAACCCCAAGGTTCCCAGTTGTTACTATAATGGGCCATGTTGATCATGGGAAAACGACGTTACTTGACAAACTGCGAAAAACTCAAGTGGCAGCAATGGAAACTGGAGGCATCACTCAGCACATTGGTGCCTTTCTTGGTATGGACACATATTACCTTACAGTGTGCCTGGGAACCCTACATACTATTTTCTTAAACCAAGTGTCATAGTATGAGGTAGACAAATTCAAAGTAAAAGGGAAGCCTAAAGCTTAAAGCCATTGGTCTGATGAAATATAGAGCAGGTGGTTAACAAAGCTTATTTTGTACATTCTTTAAGAAGAAAATTCTATTACCTTTTTATTCTGGCTCATTCTTAGTTTGGTTTAATGAACCTACAATTCTTCAATGCTAGGTTGTGATAATGTTCCTAATAATAAATAACAGCTACCATTTACTGAGCACCTAGTATGTGCTCAGCACTGTGGTGAGCACCTTATTTATATGCTTTATATTTTTTATCTTCACAACAACATCATGAGGTGGGTATTAATATTCCTACTTACAGATAAAGAAGCTGAGGCTTGTGTAAATTAAATTACTTGTTCAGGGTACACAGCTAGTAAGTGGCAAAGCCAGGATTTACACTCAAGGCTGGGTTTGGGCTTAAATCCTGAGCTCCTAACCATATACTAAATTGCCTTTGTTGTTGAAGGCAGTTGTGCAACTGATGTTTGCTAATGAAGGGGAGACTGCCTATATAACTCTTGGTCTGTTCTCTCTTCAGAATGGATACCAGTTGGTATATTTATGAAAAGTATATTCTAGAAGTAGAGTTTTAGTTTGAAATTATTACATGAAAAGAAAACCCTAAGGGTTTCACTGCTTTGTTATATTTCAGTGTGAAATGATGATCTGTATTGTTCCTCATTAAGATTAAGGGAAAGAATAAGTCATTTTAAAGAATTGTTGATTCTGCTTGATAATTTCACATATATTCCTTTGTATTAAGAAAGTACATATTTGAGTCCTTAGTGTTCTTGGATTTCTGTTTCCACAGTCTCTCTGCCTTCTGGGGAAAAGATAACCTTTCTTGATACTCCAGGCCATGCTGCTTTCTCAGCAATGAGAGCCAGAGGTGCTCAGGTCACTGACATTGTTGTATTGGTTGTAGCTGCAGATGACGGAGTGATGAAACAAACTGTAGAATCTATTCAGCATGCCAAAGATGCTCAAGGTACCATGTGGCTGACTTACGTGTATCAGGAAAGAAGTTGCTTTTTTTGAAAAAAAACAAAAAAACAAAAAAACAGGTTCTACTACTTAAAGTCGCTATTCTGGGGCCCTTTACACATAGCTCATTTAATCTTCCTGGCAATCCCAGGATTATTATACCTATTTACAGATAAGGCTCAAAGACAGTTGAATTGTTTTCCCACAGACATAAGTACTAAGCAGAGTGTAGTAGGATTCAGCTGGGGATGTGGGATCACAAATATAGTCGTTCCAATACTGTTTACTTACTTGGCATGGTGTGAGAATTTAATGGTTTCCAATGAATTTTTAAAAAAACCTTTTTAGGGGCACCTGAGTAGCTCAGTCGTTAAGCTTCTGCCTTCGGCTCGGGTCATGATCCCAAGCTCCTGGGATTGAGCACCGCATCGGGCTCCCTGCTTGGCCAGAAGTCCTCCCTCTTTCACTCCCTCTGTTTGTGTTCCTGCTCTCGCTATCTCTCTGTCAAATAAATAAAATCTTTAAAATAAATAAAAAATAAACTTTTTATCATGAAAATTTTAAACAGTTACAAAAGTAAGACTAGAATAATGAACTTCCATGTATTCACCAACTCAGTACATTAGGAGTTGCAAAGTATTGATACTCTAATTCTATTATTCCTTGTTCATTTATTATCTGGAATTCTCTAAAGAGGAACTTTTCCGGGCACCTGAGTGGCTGTTGGTTAAGTGTCTGCCTTTGACTCAGGTCATGATTCTGAGTCCGGGGATCAAGCCCCGAGTCTGGCTCCCTGCTCAGTGGGGAGTCTGCTTCTCCCTCTCCCTCTGTTCCTCTCCCTGCTCATGCTTGCTCTCTCTCGCAAATAAATAAAATCTTAAAAAAAAAAATAAAGAGAAACTTTTCCTTTATATGCTTTAAATAAGTTCTTATTTGATCAAAGGTGTAAAATTGAAACTTTTAGAAAATCACTTAGCTATCTTCTCCCTTGCTTCTTCCACACACATACTTTGTATATTCATTCTTATTCCGATATGATCCTACACCCATTGAGAAAATACTGCTGTCTTGAGAAAGTGTACCTGATGGAGAGTACATCATATTCCCCTAGGTTTGTTGGCAAGAAAAAAAAAAAGGTTGACAGTCACTATCTAGGCCATTTCTTTTCTTACAACATGAAAACTGAGAACCAGAGAATGGCAGGAACTGCCTCCAATTACAGTTAATTTGTATCATGTCCACATTTGGAATCTGGTCTTCTTTCCATTGTTAATCTTTTTCCTTTTAATTCCTCAAAACTGCCTTACTGGAATGGGCTATGTTCATCATGATTCTAGGGAATATAACAAAAAGAAGAGAGTGATAAATTTGCCAGGGATTTGCATTACAAAGCAGGTAGTTGAGATAGGATAAATTTCTTAATCATGCTTTCTTTCTATACCTGTTCTCACGTCCCTGTTAAGTTCCAGCTCATCCATATGGAATGTACTTTTTCATAATAGTAGGTTGTGGATTGCATAACTTTTGTGTCTATTGTGAATTTCTCGTTTGATACCTGAGAAAATTGCAAAGTTGATAAAACCCAACCAGAGAATTATCTCATAGCATTTTATGTGATTTCTCTAATGGGAGGGTATGTTTAATATTGACAGGTAGATTATAAGATTATTTGGTTCATTCATTAAGCAAACATTTATTGTGAATCTACTATGTGTCAGTCACTGAGTATGTATGAGTAGAGAGTTACTGTAAATCCTAAAAGAAAGTTTACAATAATGCTACTTAGTTTCACCCCAGGATGAGATGTTGGGTTTTGACAATGACTTAATAGCTCCTGGAAAGAAGACACAGATGATCTAGTGGTTTAGAATTGGATTAGAATCTTCTCTTGATTTCCCCCCCCCCCCCCGGAGATTATCTTCAATGTAGTTGCTGATCTTACATTCAGGTTTAAAGGTAGGCCTTTCTCTACCCAAAATGCTGTTTTTTGTTTGTTTGGTTTTTATCATCTTAGGTATCTGTTCTTAATTCAGAATCTGCTTATAATGATAGTTTTGACATCTCATAGCCAGAATCCTTTATGTGCAGAAAGCAGTGTAGAGGGGGGCTAAAGCAGGTTTTTTTCAGGTCTGTCTTTTAGTTTAGTACATCTACTGGGTAAAGAGAAAGCCAGAAAAGGTTGGTGTCTTTCACTACCTGGTATCGAAGATTTCCTCATCTGCACTCTTTTTAACTCTTTCAGTTCCTGTCGTCCTTGCCATAAACAAATGTGACAAAGCTGAGGCTGATCCTGAAAAAGTGAAAAAAGAACTGCTAGCTTATGATGTGGTCTGTGAGGATTATGGAGGCGACGTCCAAGCAGTGCACATCTCTGCACTCACGGTAAATGCAGACACCTCAGAGATGATGTGTTCAGATGGGCCTACTGTCCCTAACGCACGTAGTGCACAGAAACAACATCTTGACACATAGTGTTTCTGTTGTTTAAAAGTCTTCTGTAGTATTAGGCAAAGCTGGTATCATTATCTTGGTTTGGCAGATTAGAAAGCAGGCTCAGAAAGGTTATAACGTCACCCGTCTAGGATTCCACAGCTGGACAGTGGGGGATGAAGTACAGACGTAGTGCTTTTCTTATTATGGGATACTTAGAATGAGAACAAATGGTAAACGATGTGAGGATAGGGTAACAGTAAGCTGCTAAAGACTGTTTTAAGCAGAAATGAAATCCAATTTGTAATAAAAAGTACTTGTTTTTATAGTGAAAAAATGCAGAATAGGTCTTAGGGCATTTAAGGGAGATTTAAACAAAAACTTCACTAATACAAAGATAAAACATTTAGGTTCAATTTGTTACTGATTGATTCAATGTTTCTATGAATTAAATTGCTATAAGTTTTATGTTATTTATAATGAATTCCATTTTCTTTTAAATGACCAGTTATTATTTTCTGATTGAAAAACACCAAGGAAGCTAAATACCTGCTTTGTGACAGCGTTTTCCAATTCTCTTAGCCTATACAGGTTGCTGCTAAGTAACAGTTTCCTTTTTTGTCCATTCTTACCATATTCCATGGTTTATACATAATATATAAAACTTTTTTTTTTCCCTCATCATTCACTGAAGGGATGGTACTATATTTGGCCACCTTCCTCTAGTTAGGTCTCATTTTATCTTTAGTTTTCCTAAATTTGTTACCTCTAAGATGCTTAGCAATCATTCCTCCACTAATAGTAAAGCCTTGCCTCTTTTTTTCTGAAACTCATAAAAGGCCACCTTGCTTTATCTTTCCACTATACCCCAATTGCTCTTGTACTCTGAAAGCCACATGGCAAGATTAAAACATTTGAAGACATGGTCACCTTTTCTGCCCAGGTAACAGAGATGAGTAGATAAATGTAAAGCTGCTTAGGCAGACTTGGAGGCGTGGCAGAGACGATTCCTGGGAAGTGGAGGGAATTGGGAGGGAGTGGCAGGAAGTAAGATGAGGCCTTTTTTTCCAAGTAGAAATAGAGGACGCTTCATGCAAAGAAACACCCCAGCTCTGCTTTTCAGGGCAGCATTTTGTAAATTGGAATAAATAACTAGTAACAAGTGGATAGGTGAGCAAGTTATTTCATCGGCTTTGTTTACACTTGTCCCCGTTGTCTTATACTCTGACAACTGAGCAATCTCTTCGCTGGCACAGAGAATGGAAAAATCCCTTGCCCATCAGTTCCAGCTCCATCACCACTTAATTAGCTGTGTGATCTTGGAGCCCTAGAAAGCATAGCAAACATAGATCATTAAACATGAAACAAATCATCTAATCTAGCTTCCTCATTTTACAATTGAGGAAAGAAGATCCAGGGAGAAGTGATTCTTCAAGGGTGCACAGCTTGGTGATTACAGAGCATGTCTTAAAGCCTGGGTCTGGTCCATACTTTTTCTCCTTATTTATTTAATAAGTAAGTAATGTTTGATTTATTTATTTTATAGCACTCTTAAGTTGATCAAATGAAATAATAGATGTGAAAGCTTGCTCAGTTGGATAAACTTCAAATGCAGATTAGCATTTTAAGAAAGTGAGAGGAAGAAGACACAATTGTAGAGACAGATGGGGGAGAGAGAATGAATGAAGCATGTGTTTATGAAAGGGTAGTAAGGAGCACCACTAGTGGCCATCCTTTTAATAAAATAGCCATTCTTCCTTGAAAGATCTGTCCCTCGATCAGGTCTTCTTGCTTTTCCTTCCTTTGTTCTTTCCTCCCTCCCTCCTTCCTTTCCTTGTTTCCTTTCTAATTGGATGATTGATTCATGCTTTTAATGCTTAAAGAGAAAAGTATAATATAACTGTAAAGGATTATTTTGCTTTCTGACCCTGGTTTATAAATTTACAGATAATATTTTATTATTGTATATTAACACCTTTTTTTTATTAAAGGGTGATAATCTGATGGCTTTGGCAGAGGCAACGATTGCTTTGGCAGAAATGTTAGAATTGAAAGCAGACCCCACTGGTCCAGTAGAAGGAACAGTAATAGAATCTTTCACAGACAAAGGAAGAGGGTAGGACTGTTAAAATGCTTGCTTTTTAATAATTTTGTTTCATTGTTTTTAATGACTTGATTATATAACAGTGTATTATTTTTATTGTATATTATTGTTAGACATGAACAGTATTTTCAAAGCATTTGTTTTGAAAACATTTTATTGCACTAGCACACAGAACAAAAAATGCATTTATCAGTAGACCATAGCAACTCTCTGTATATATCTACTAGTCACATTTAGATGATGTAAGTAGTTCAGTTTGAATTTTTTTTTCCCCACTGACTTAAGTGAATTGGTAAATAAAGCCTCATGGACCAAAAAATTGGAATGAAATAGCAGTTGTTACATTTTAGGGTTCCTAAATTCTTTATGTCCTTCCCCATTAATATAATATATGGGAAGGTCTTTGGATTGCTCTTCTCTTCTTTAATTTTTCTTCCTATCAGCAAGAAGTTTCACTGCTTAACAAATTAGTTACAGAAAGAGGATTAGGATTCTGTCAGAATACTCAGCTATCTGCACCCTCAACTACATAAGCTTATAGAAATGGTTTTTGTTTTTCCATTAAAAAAAATTGTGATAAAAGCATAACATTATATTTACCATCTTAACCATTTTTAAGTGTATAGTTCAGTAGTATTAAGTATATTCACATTGTTGTACAACAGATCTCTAGAACTTTTTAATTCTGTAAAACTGAAATCGTATATACACGAAACACTAATTTATCCCTCCTTCCTTCCCCAACCCTTAGAACTATCTTTCAATTCTCTGTTTCTCTGATTTTGACTACTTTAAATACTTCATATGAATAGAATCATAAGGTGTTTGTCCTTTTTGACTGGCTTCTTTCACTTAGCATAATGTCCTTGAGGTAGGTTCACTCATGTTGGAGCATATGACAGGGCTTTCCTTCTTTTTAAGCTGGCATAATTTTCTATTGTGTGTGTGTGTGTGCGTGTGTGTGTGTGTATGTATATGTGTGTGTGTGTGTGTGTGTGTGTGTGTGTATACTGCATTTTCTTTATTCTTCAGTTGATGGACATTTGGTTTGCTTCCACCTTTTGGCAATTAAGTAGAAATGTTTTTATAGTGTGTAAACCTGCTTGAGAAGTGGGATTAACCCTGTGTGTTCATAGTCTATATAGTTAAGTTTCATAAAGATATCTTTGCTCTACTTAAGAAAGTGTTCTTACATCCTGATTATGGCATTAAGAATATATACATTTGTTTTCCTTTTAGTCCTGTTACTACAGCTATAATTCAAAGAGGAACTTTGAGGAAAGGCTCAATTCTGGTTGCTGGAAAGAGTTGGGCAAAAGTACGCTTAATGTTTGATGAGAATGGAAAAACAATCCATGAGGCCTGTCCCAGCATGCCAGTGGGAATTGTAGGCTGGAGAGACCTCCCTTCTGCAGGAGATGAAATTCTTGAAGTAGAATCTGAGGTACATCAAGTTTAATTCCTATATATTAGATATGATACAGTGATTTTAATATTAATCTATAATGTTATACCAAATAAGTATATTTGTGTTAACAAATAATTGTAGATTGTAAGGGCTTGTGAGGGGGCCAGTAGTGCCATTTTAGAATTTGGCTATAGAATTTTAAAAATTTGAGCTAATATTTTTAAATTAAATCATCTGTTATACACAAAGCCCCCCAGATTAAAGTTTTATAAGTTTCTTGAAATTTATAAAATTAGTGGTTTCATGTATGAATTAAGCTAAGCTAAGTTGAGGAAAAACACAAAGCTTTTAGCCTATAAGTTACTGGTTTCTATTTAGTTAAATAATGCCTGTTTTTTCCCTGTAAAGCCAAGGGCACGCGCAGTTGTTGACTGGAGGAAGTATGAGCGAGAACAGGAGAAAAATAAAGAGGATCTGAAAATAATAGAAGAAAAGCGAAAGGAACACCAAGAAGCACATCAGAAAGCCCGTGAGAAGTATGGCAATATGCACTGGAAGGAGAGATCATTTCTAAAGTACCAAGAAAAAAAAGAACAAAAACACTTAAAGTCAAAAGAGAAAGAAGAAGGGGATTCACACATACTTCCTATAATTATTAAAGGTGACTTTGGAAAGATTGTACTTTACAACTCATATCTGGAATATATGTAATATATGTGTTTCTTCATTCTCACAATTAATTTGGGCCATTAAATTTAAGCTAAAATTATTTTGGCATTTAGGGAGAGGTTTTTTTTTTTTTTAAGATTATTTATTTGAGAGAGAAACAGAAAGCAGGGGAGAGGCAGAGAGAAACTAAAGCAGGTTCTGCGCTGAGCTCAGAGCCCAACATATGCCTGGATCCCATGACCCGAGCTAAAACCAAGAGTCTGATGCTTAACCAACTGTGTCACACCCAGGTGCCCCAGGGGGAGATTTTTTTTTTTTTTAATTGAGGTATAATTGACATATAACATTATGTTAGTATCAGGTGTACAACATAATGATTTGACATTAGTAAATATTGCAAAATGACCACCACAGTTTGTCTAGCTAACATCCGTCATCATACATAGTTACAAAATTTTTTTTCTTGTGATAAGAACTTTTAAGATCTACTCTCTTAGCAACTTTCCAATATGTAATACAGTATTATTAATATAGTCGCTATACTGTACGTTATATCCCATGACTTACTTATTTTGTAACTGGAAGTTTGTACCCTTGTCCTCCTTCACCCTTTTTGCCCATCCCTTACTGGGGGAGATTTTAATAAACATTTTTTTTGCTGATTTTGTTGTAAATGTACTGTACATTTGGTTCATTATACTTTATTTAAAGTTAAATAGACATTTATAATGCTAAACCTAAATAAAAGTGGATTTAGTGGTAAATGGCATTTCTGTTATGGCTTTAAATAGATTTTTGTCGTTTTTGTGTCTGTTAATGCCTCTTAACACCGGTAATTTTAAACTTCTGCATTTAGGTGATGTTGATGGTTCCGTCGAGGCTATTGTGAACATTATGGATACCTATGACGCTTCACATGAGTGTAAACTTGAATTAGTACATTTTGGTGTGGGTGATGTCAGTGAAAATGATGTTAACCTTGCTGAAACATTTTGTGGTAAGGATTCTCTTTCCTATTTGTTTAACTGTGTTCCCTAGAAGACACTGTGAACCATTTGCTTCTGTCTTTTGTTGGTTGGCTAGTCAGTCTGCCATTTACCCTTATGAGCATACCCCTCCTGCTGTAGTCAAGCCCCAGCCATGGAGCTGAATGGGATGTGCAGTATTGCAGCCATAGCTCCACTCATTGTCCCTGTACTGCAACGTTGGGAAACTTTTGAGCCCCAGTAGTGTTTCTTATTTTTTTGTTTTGTTTTGTTTTGTTTTGTGTTTTTTTGAAGATTAGTGTCCTCTACCCCCTCCCAGTTCCCCACCCAATCGAAGGTTGGTTATCTTTTATTTAGACTTTTGAATGCTCCTAATACTGTAATCAGCCTCTTCAGTACTTCATCTTTTACTTTTGTCTACCTATTTCTTGTTTATTGGTAATTTTACAAATTATGTCTCTTAGATTAAAAGCTGTTTTTAGCTTTAGTGTGTGCGCTTCCAAAGCGAGCACTATTTTTAGTTTTAAATGCCTAGAAGGCAGGGGGGCTGTTTATTAGTTGAACTTATGATATACAAAAAGGTGACTCATGACTGTCACTTCAAGTCTAACACCTAGCAAAGCACCAACATTTTATTGAGTGATTAATGAATCACTTAGGAAGGAGCTACTTCATGACTGGACTTGATTAGAATTAGATGTTACCTCTACTCCTGAAAAGGTATTTTTAGTAATGCTGATTAATTCGAAGTATTTTCTAGGCATTGGTTGGCCTACATTATACTCTGAAATGTTGATAGTGTGTTGAATGAATTCTTAATGATAAGACTTTCAACATGGTTGTGTTTTTCTCTTAAATTGTTTGCATTACTTTTTTTCACTTAAGGGAAGAGTGTTTTGCTTTTTTTTTAAGATTTTATTTATTTATGTGTCAGAGAGAGAGTGCACAAGCAGGGGGAGTGGCAGGCAGAGGGAGAAGGCAGCTCCCCGCTGAGCAAGGAGCCTGATGTGGGACTTGATCCCAGGACCCTGGGATCATGACCTGAGCCAAAGGCAGCACTTAACTGAGCCACGCAGGAGTCCCAACAGTGTTTTGCTTTTTTATTCCCTCCAAAGTATTTGCAGTTAAATACATTCTCCCCCCCACCTTTTTTTCTGAAGATTTATTTATTTAGGGGCACTGGGTGGCTCAGTCATTAAGCATCTGCCTTTGGCTTGTGCCGTGATCCTGGGGTCCTGGGATTGAGCCCTACATTAGGCTCCCTGCTCAGTGGGGAAGCCTGCTTCTCCCTCTCCCTCTCCCTCTGCTTGTGTTCCCTCTCTCTCTGTCTCTCTCTCTCAATTAAATATAAATAAATAAAATCTTTAACAAAAAAAAGATGTATTTATTTGAGAGAGAAAAAGAGAGTATGTGAGCAGGGGGGATGGCAGAGGGAGAAGGAGAGAGGCAGAATCCCTGCTGAGGGCGGAGCTCCATCCCACCACCCTGAGATAATGACCAGAGCCAAAATTAAGAGTCAGAGAGTCAACCTACTGAGCCACCCAGGCGCCCCTAAATGTATTATTCTTTGGTAAAATGGTCAGCTCCATGGAACTTCTTTCATTTCTAAAATAATTCTTGAACTTTACCAATTAAGTAACTATTATTGAGCATCTTTTGGCCAACTGAATACTTACGAGTAAACCGCAAAAAGTTGTAGACAATAAGATTATAATTTAGTAATACAGTTATTAAAATAATATAATATTTTAGCCCTAATCAATTTTTGTTTTCTTATTTCTCTAGTATAAAAATAAAAGTTTTGTTTAGCATACTGCCTTGCACACTGTGGGCACTTTTGTCTCTTAAATGGATTTAAAAATCAAAAAGAGGGACGCCTGGGTGGCTCAGTCAGTTAAGCATCTGCCTTTGGCTCAGGTCATGATCCCAGGGTCCTGGGATTGAGTCCCGCATCGGGCTCCCTGCTCAGCGGGGAGCCTGCTTCTCCCTCTGCCTGCTCTGCCTGCCCCTTCCCGTTTGTGCACGCACACTCTCTCTCTGACAAATAAATAAAATCTTTAAAAAATAAAAAAATAAATAAAAATCATAAAGAAATTTTCCTTATTAAACAAGCCACAATAGAACTTAAAAAATCCTTTCACTAATTTGAAAACTAAGTTTTATGAGAAAAAATGATAGAATTTCTCATCTCCCCTACTTGCTTTTAATTTACATAGAAGGAAATAAATTTAGATTTGAGTTTCTGCTTGAAAGGAAAGTGTTTAATGCAACATTTGTGCTACTTTATTGATTGTCTTTCTGCTTGCCAGGTGTTATATATGGCTTCAATGTGAATGCAGGCAATGTTATCCAGAAGTCTGCTGCAAAAAAGGGAGTAAAAATTAAACTTCACAAAATCATTTACCATCTGATTGAGGATTTGCAGGAGGAATTGAGCAGCAGATTGCCCTGCACTGTGCAAGAGTACCCAATAGGTGAGTGTTCACTGAATGTTAAACATTCATATCTTAGGTGCTTAAGTAACACTTTGAAAGCAAAGTTTAGGGGAAAATGTAAATCACTGTTGAAATACCTTCACTGTTCCAATATGTAGCTTTTGTTCTAGAAAAAAATTACTATAGATCTATTCAGTGTAACTTCATATATGTATTATAAACACCTGCTGTCTGCAACATGTTGTGCTTCTGCCCTGAGGATACAAAGGTCCTGAAGTTTAGACATCAACAACTAATTGTAGTACAAATTAGACTGGGATGGGAGGGGATAAAGATTATATAACAGTGTTGTGGAGGAAGCCATTGATTTTTGTCCTGGAAACTGGCAGGGAAATCCACCATGAGAAGAAAGTTTACATTTAAGTATCACATATTTAAAAATTTTCTTTCTAGCATATCCCTTGGCCAGATGGAAACCTAAATTTATCCAAGACTGATTAAACCATTTTATCTGTTCTTATGGTCCAGAGATTTTAGATTTTTTCTGACCTGCTAAATGTGACCATACAGAGATTTGTATGTTCTTATGCTAAGTGCGATTTGGAAAACTTTTGAGTCATATGAAGGTTTTTAGGAGCCAAGTAACACTAACCTCAGTAAATTGGTATATTATAGTGTGTGATAGCATGTCATTATAATTTAATTTGCCGTGAAAAAAATTAAGCTGAGTCAGAATTAGTGCTCTTAAGTGGATATAAATTACCAATGGGGAGATTAAAAAGTCAGGTAACAACAGATCTCTTCGAGAAAATATATTGAGGGACAGCTGAAAACTAGGTTTTTATGGAGCAGACAGAAAACTATTATCTTCTAGTGCATTTTATTTAGCTAAAAAAGTGAATTCCACTTTTCCCTTGTCATTCTTTTGGCAAACATGTATTTTTGTGGTTTTCTTTTCCATGAAAACCCAGGGATTTCATGTTTATTTTTTTTAAAGATTTTTATTTATTTGAGATAGAGTGTGCATGAGAGAGCGAGCAGGAGCAGGGGGAGGGGCAGAGGGAGAAGCAGGCTCCCTGATTACTAGGGATGGAGTGGGGTGATGCCGGGCTCGGTCCCAGGACCCTGGGATCATGACCTGAGCTGAAGGCAGACACTTAACCAACTGAGCCACCCAGGCGCCCCTCATGTTTATGTTTCTAATAGTGGTCAGGAAAATAAAGTTGGCAGAGTCAAAGAAAACCTGGACTTCTTTCTCTGCATGAGTTGTTTTTGTCACTTTTAATTCTTGCCATGCAGAATATGTGAAATTATGTATTTCTCAGAATCTTTTGTTCTCTGTGCACTTAATGTTCTTTTCTTTCTTAAGGTGAGGCTTCTATACTAGCTACCTTCTCTGTAACAGAAGGGAAGAAAAAAGTTCCTGTGGCTGGCTGCAGAGTCCAAAAGGGACAGTTAGAAAAACAAAAAAAATTTAAATTAATCCGTAATGGAGATGTTATTTGGAAGGGTAAGCAACATCACAATGTTTCTAATAGACCTCAAATCCAGTCACCAAAACCTGATTCTGTATAACTGTCTGAAATCTTTCATTCCCCTATCCTGGTTCAGGCCATTCCTTCTTGGGAACTCAAACCTGGTCTCATTGATTGGCTCCCTCCCTTACAAATTCTAAATTCTGATAATCTATAATAACCTATAGCAATAATCCCAATAAATCAGTAATCTAATTTTCTAAGCTTCTACAAATTGGCCCCAAACTACCTTTCCAGCTGTGTTCTGTACTTTTCTGCAGCATTGTATTTGCTTACCTCCTTTTGACCTTTTACCTGCAGTCTTTTACTAGGTTTATCTCATTAAATCCCAAGTATAATGCCAATCCTCTGCAGTTAGTCTGCCTTTGAAATGGGAGATATAGTTATCTTTCGCTATAAGCCAAATCTTGTTTACAGCAAACCATTTTCCTTTGGTTTCCCTAGTATTTAGTTCTATCATTTAACATGATAGGACTGTAAAACTTAAGAATTTCAGTGTTTAAAACTTCCTTTCTACCAGACTATATAGCACTTAGTAATATTATTTGTTCAATATATGTACCTTTTTTTTTGTATTTTCTTAAGGTTCATTAACCTCATTGAAACACCATAAAGATGACGTTTCAGTCATCAAAACTGGAATGGATTGTGGCCTCAGTTTAAGTGAAGAAAAGATAGAATTTAAAGTGGGAGATGAAATTGTTTGTTATGAAGAAAAAGAAGTTCCAGCCAAGACTTCTTGGGATCCAGGATTTTAAAATTATATTAAAAATGTAAACAATTAATGGGGTGCCTGATAAGAGCATGCAACTCTTGATCTCAAGAGTTCAAACCACACGCTGGGCAGAGATTTAAAAAATAAATTAAAAACTATAAACAAAGTCTTGCTTTATTACAGAGCAACTAGTTTTGCTTTATTGAAGGTAAGAATTCACCACATCTGGTCAAAAAAGACCCTAGTAGTTATTCCAAGTGTTAACATGGATAACTTGTCAAAATGCTCCAAAAATAGGAAACCTTATTTAAGCGTGCCTCCAAGCAGAAATCCTCAAAAGAATATGGTAAAAGGGTATTGGCATGCCACTGAATGTAATAATCAGTTCATGGTAAACTTCATGTTTTAATTGAGTGACACCAAGATAAGCAAACCTCCCTGAATTTAGCTCACAGGCAAAATATGGTGCCAAATACTGCTCAAAACTATTTCTCAATGTTGACAGCACTAGTGAACAAAGTGTTTAAAATTCCAAGATTTCACGCTCAACATTGAAGAATGTTCCCTTGTACTATAGACAGCATATATCCCCAGCCAAACCACCCAGGGACTCAGAATATTTTTTGACTACTGAAAGCTTGGCTTTTACATTTATCATGCATGAAACAAATGGGTCACAGACTTTGTTTAGGCAAGCTGTAACACCAGTTCATACAAATCAGTGTTTCTCTAAATGGGGGTGAAGGGGCAGGTCCCCCCTTCCATACCATCCCAGGGATCCTTTGGCAATCTGGATATACCTAGTGCTGAGAATGGGTGGTGTGCTACTGGCATCAGGTGTGTAGAGACCATGATGCACATGATAGCCCCCACAACAAAGAATTATCTAGTCCAAAATTTCAATAGTGCGGACATAAGAAACTAACAGAAACAAACTGGCTTATATCTAGTTGATATTAAATACAATCTTAACTTTTCTGCCAAAGTATATGTAGTTTATCAAAATGCTGTGACCAATGGATACTTAAAACCACTCTAAGTCACTGGAATAAAATGCAACAAAATGTTAGTTCATGTCTTTTATTATTAACCCATATACAATTACTTGTCTTCTGGTTTGTTGAAGCAATAAGTCAGACAACATTTGCCACAATAATGTCTGTCGAAGTGGCTAGCCATGAAAACTCCAGCACCACACTCATCTGAAGGGCACTCCCGACGAAGGCGACTGATTTTGCCATTCTCATCCACCTATAAAGTACAAACCTGCTGTTAAGATAATTTTACAACATACTCTGAAGTCTAAGTTAAGGGACTCAAAAATATTTAACTACTTTAAAATCACAAAACAGTGTAGTTTTTTGTATTTAAAAACCAAAGCACTCCCAAATCCTCACTAGTAATTAGTACAACAAAATAGTTCAGAGCCCACAAAAGTCTAGCCTTGCAAGTGGTGACAAAGTTAAGACCTAAACCCAGATCTGACTTCAAAATCAGAACTCAATTTGGAATAAGCAGCTAAAAGTGAACCTCATCATATGAAGCTTGATCCAATACCAAAAAGAAAAGAAAACTTTAAAAGAACATTTGAGAGCGCCTGGGTGGCTCAGTTGGTTAAGCAACTGCCTTTGGCTCGGATAGTGATCCTGGAGTCCCGGGATCGAGTCCTGCATCGGGCTCCCTGCTCAGCAGGGAGTCTGCTTCTCCCTCTAACCCTCTTCCCTATCTCTCATTCTCTCTCTCTCAAATAAATAAAATCTTTAAAAAAAAAAAAAAAAAGAACGTTTGACACCAGAGATGCAAACAAAATTTATTAATCAACAGATAAAAACATTTTTATTAAGTTGGCTCACCTTATAGTATTTCAGGACGGCCAGTTTAACCTTCTTTCTCTTATGCTTATTCTTCTTGGGAGTGGTGTAAGACTTCTTCTTCCTTTTCTTAGCACCACCACGAAGTCTCAACACAAGATGAAGAGTGGACTCCTGTTAAAGGAAGAGGATGAAACAGGCTTTAAAATAATTACATTTAATGCTCATATTCCATTAAGGGGCAACTGGCTTCATGCACTCTCTAACTGGATGTGCTAAGTACACAATACCACAGATAAGGAAGTTTTGGGGGGGTTAACTACTTGTTTATAGGAAGATTTAAGAACATACTAAGTCACATCATGGGATGCAATCTACACAATCCAGAATGTGAGAAACTATAGCAGTGTTTCTGAAATGTTAATGCCGGAGTCATCTAGGAATCTGCTGCTAATCTGTTATTCTTCCCCACTTTTGTGTTGATCAAAACTTACAAAATAAGATTTACATTTAAAGGACTGCTCTTTCCTCCAAACAGACCTTTTGAATGTTGTAGTCAGACAAAGTGCGTCCATCTTCCAGTTGCTTGCCAGCAAAGATCAGTCTCTGCTGATCAGGAGGAATTCCTAAAAGCAGGCGTAGAAAATTATTCCACACATGTGAAGAGCACCCCTGGATGGCCCCATGCTCACAAACATTTGTTACTATTTTAAAAGCATTTCACTTTGTCAATCCGACCTCTTCCCACCCCACCAACAGCAGGTATGTCCAGTAGTTAGGCTGGCTCCAGTACAGGTCAATTTCTCTGAACTAGAAAGTATTACTTGCCTTCCTTATCCTGAATCTTGGCCTTTACATTTTCTATTGTATCCGAGGGTTCAACCTATGAGTTTAAAAATGAAAATGTATCGATAACACAGTAAGAAACTAGAATAAACGCCTAATTCAATTTGCAAGTTAGTACAGAACCAAGCCGGTGGAAGGCTGGAGCCTACCCAGCAGAGCTGACCACTCACCCGAAGGGCAGGCAACCGCTCCAGGACTGCCGCCGCCGAGCACACTTCCTGAGCCCAACCAAGGGCGGACGGCGGCGGCTGCGCCACACGCGCTCGCGCCCAGCGGTCAGAGCGCCTCCTTCTTTCCCCCCCCAAGCGCGGGCCCCCTGCCTTGGCCACCTGGACAGAACTACTGAAGAGGTGATAGCTCACACTTCAGGCATCGAAAGCCAGCCCTAGGCCCCTACTCAGCCAACAACTGAATTATCAGAGCCAGTTTTCAGAACCCAGACTCATAAACATATTCTGCGGCAGAAAGCGGCACGGGTCCCTGACTCCACTTCAGGCCCTTATTCCGGCCTTGACTTCCTCACGCCACCTAGCCCGTACCTCGAGAGTGATGGTCTTCCCCGTAAGGGTTTTCACGAAAATCTGCATCTTGGCGGCGGTTCCACCTGAAGTTGAGGAAAAGGAAGAGAAGGGTCAAAAGTGGGAACATAAGGGGGCGCCCAGTAGGCCACTGGCCGGAGAGAGGCCAAGAACACACACTCACCACAGATGGCGGATCGGAAAAGAAAGCAACGCGCCGGCTCACGGGGTTTCCCGGCGCCCCCGCCAGAGGCCCCACGTCTTAGGCGACCACGTCAAATGCCGGACTGCTGTCACAGAGGCTGTCTAACCACATGCCGGACTGGGGCGTGAAACTCATTCCTCCTCCCTGGCCTGAACTTGTTTCTCATTTTAACCCTCAGAATGCTCTCGAAATAGTAGATTTAAACAAATGAAAAATGGCTTTAAAAGGTTTGTCCCATACAAGCCACGTGGCTAGGAGGGTCTTTAAAAGGGGGTGCGGTTGAGGGGGGTCCTTATTGAGGAAAAAGGAGGAAAAAGAACTGTCTTCTGGGAATTGTAGTTCTTCATTGTTTTCTTTTAGTTAGGACTACTCGTCCCAGGATGCAGTTCCACACCTCCGGTTCCCTAGTAACTGTCTCCAAGCCTTGGAGTCAGTGTTTGGAGAAAGGGGTTCAGGTGAGGAGGGAGGATGGGAGAGGCGGAGTAATGGTTTGAGGTGGAAACGGGTCGGAAATGACTAAGAGGAAAGGTTAAACAGGAGAAGGGTCGGGGAACGAAGGTGTCGTTCACTCACATACACAGGGGGTGAGGGGCGGAGGATCAGCGATGTGCCAGCGGATACTTTGGCCTCCAAGAGAAGGAATTCCTGTGGCCAGCTCCAGCCAAAGATAGGTAGTATTCAAAACCTTGGGTTCATTTTTTTCTATCCTGTAGCTCCTCCCCGTCTTCAACCCCCAAATCTGTCCTAGTCTGAGGAAAGTTCTGGGCCTCGTGTAGGACTCCTTAGTGTGAAACCGTTTAATATGTTGAAAATCTCAGGAGTTTTCAAATTTTAAAATATGGGTAAGAAACCTGCGGAACGACTAGTTAGTTGTAAAATTTCCAAGTCGGGACCTTGGGAGTGGTTGTGAAGGAAATCTTCCAAGGGGAAGAATTTGGGAGTATGTGCAGGGTTCTCGCCTAGCAAGGCGGGCCAGTTAGAAGCAAAAGGCCCCTTCTTTTGGCCTTTCTCCACTGCACAAACCACGGAATCTTTTCTAATGTGCCTTCCTAATGTCTTCTCTGTTCATCTCTCTATGCCCTCTCCTCTCTGCATCCCCAACCCCAAATTCAGGCCCTCCTTAATTTTCTCTTCGAAGATTTAATTGTCTAACTTCTCACCTGTCTTCAGTCTTTCTCCTTTTCTAACCCATCCTCACTTTGCCTCCAAAACATTCTAAAAAGTGAAGATGATTATGTCGTTGTTTTACTTCACCTTCGGGATAAAAGCCAAATTCTTTAGTATGATATTCTGCCTCTGCCTCCCTTACAGCCTATTCTGTCAAACCCATTACTCAGTTTACACTTTAATGACTGAGCTAATTGAAGTTCCTAGCTTACCTCTCTCATGCTTTGGCACTCCTAAAAATCCATTTCTTCTTCCTGGAATATTGTTCATCCCATATTCTGCCAACTTGTTTCCATCTTTACAACAAAACTCCTTCAAAGAGTTGTCTTTACTCATTGTCTCCAGTTGTCCCCTTCCATTGATTGTACGTACTCCTATTAGGTTTTTGTCCCTACCATTACAGTGGAATAGCTCCTGTGGGTCACTAATCACCACCATGTTGCTAAATTCACTGGTCATTTAATCTTATTTGATCTGTCAGCATTTGACACAGTGGATTACTCCCTCCCTCTTTGAAACACTTTTTTTTCACCTGACTTCCAGGATATCTCTCTCACTTCTACTTTCCTGAACACTTTTTCCAGGCTGTTTTTGCTGCTTTCTCTTGATCTACCAGACCTCTGAACTTTGGAGTGCCACCCAAGGCCCAGTCCTTGGACCTCTGCTTTTTGACATTTCCTAGGTCATTTTCATTCTGTCTCATAACTCTATTTAATTAATTATTAATTTTTAAAGATTTTATTTATTTATTTGAGAGGGAGGAGCAGAGGGAAAGGGAGAAGCAGACTTCCCACTGAGCAGGGAGCCTGATGCGGGACTCCATCCCAGGACCCTGAGATCATGACCTGAGCATCAAGAGTCAGATGCTTAACTGACTGAGTCACCCAGGCGCCCCTACTTTATTTATTTTTAAATTTTATTTTAAGTGGGCTCCATGCCCAGTGTGGAGCCTAATGTGGGGCTTGAACTCATGACCCTGAGATCAAGACCTGAGCCGAGATTAAGAGTTGGACACTTAATAAACTGAGCCACCCAGGTGCCCCATCTGTCTCAACTTTTAAATACCATTTATATGCACATGACGTATAAACTTATCTCTCACTCAGACCACTCACTAGAACTCCACCCTCACATATCCAGCTGACTACTCAACACCTCTCATAGGCAAGCCTGAAGTCCTGATCTCACGAAATTGCTCTTCCCATCTCTGTAAATGGCAATTCCCATCTTCTCATTGCTAAGGCCAAAAACTTTATGGTCATCCTTGACTGCTCTCTCTTATCCACGTACTTTCTTATGCACAGCGAATTCTTCTTGGCTTTATTCTCAGTATGCAGAACACTTCTCACGACCTCTACTGTAACCACCCTGATTCAAGCCACCATTATCTTTTGCCCAGATTATTGCAGTAACTTCCTAACAGTTCTTCCAGGTTTGACCCTTGTCTTCACAGAGCAGCAAGAAAGGTTCTTTGAAGATGTATGTCAGCTGTCAGTCTTCTGCCCATAGCCCTCCAATGACTTCCTGTGTCACTGAGAGTGAAGCATAAATTCCTATAAGTGAGGCTGTTGCTCCAGTACTGGAACAACATGGCCGTGTTCTAACCCATTGTTCCTCTTGCCAAGTCTGCCTTTTTCTAACCTGTACAAAGATGCCCCATGGGGGAGCTGGTCGTGGTCCTGCCTTCAAGGCCTCATATCCTACATGATCTGGCAGCTACCTCTCTGACCTTATCTCCTTTGTCCCTTTCTCTTCTAGCCCCACTGGCCTTCCTGCTGTTTGTCAGACATACCCTCCTGCTTTGAGGCTTTTGCACTTGCTGCTCTGTCTGCATCCACCACTGCTCCCAGGAATCTTTAAACTACTTTTTAAAATGTCACCTTGTTGGGACGCCTGGGTGGCTCAGTCGGTTAAGCATTTGCCTTCAGCTCAGGTCATGATCCTGGAGTCCTGGGATCAAGTCCTACGTCAGGCTCCTTGCTCGGCGGCGTTCTGCTTCTCCCTCTGCCTGCCGCTCACTCTGCTTGGGCTCTCTCTGTCTCTGTCTGTCTGACAAATAAAGAAAATCTTAAAAAAAAAAAAGTTTAAACATTTAAAAGTAAATAAAATGTCACCTTATTGTGAGGGCTTTCCTCTTTCCCAACTTAATGCCTTGCATAAAATAGCACCCTCCCACCTTCTTTCTAGTCCCCCATTCCTTGTTTTATTTGTTTATACAACTTAGCCCCCTGTGTCATCTGTATTTATGGGTGTTGTCTGTCTTGCTGTTTGAGTGTAACCTCTGAGAGGTTCTGGACTTTGTTTTGTTTGATGCTGTATCTCTAGTGTCTAGAATAGTGGCAGACACAGTAGGTGCGTGCCTCCCCCCTCCCCCAATTTATTGAATAAATAAATGCAGCACAACATAAATATTGCCCTAGGTGTTTTTCCATTAGATGTTTTTCCTGATGTTTCCCTGCCCTCTCCCACAAACTAGTGAGGTGCCCCTCTGGGCTTTTGGAGCCCATTGTGCCCACCTCTGTCACACTGCCCTCTCTGCTCTGTAGCAATGGCTTGTTTAACTAGCCCAGTAGACTTGACTGGGAATCTCTGTGACTTGTTTTCTCTGTATCCTTTGTGTCTAATATGAATGAGTGAGTGAAAGGTCATCTGAGCTGGTTTATGTGACTCAGGCATTTTGTAGATGCTGAGAAACGGTCACTTTAGCTGTGTTCCGGTTTGAGGCACCACAAGTCATGTCTTAAGAGCAGACCACATTATTGCTTATTGATTATTAATTATTAAGCATTTTTTAAAGTACATATTCTGCTAGAAACTGTACTATTCACTGGAATGTGTATAGGTAGGGAAGGATAATGGGGAGTGAGAACATATTGGTTCCTGCCTATGGAGATAGATAGAGAATGTAAACAGAAAGTCACTATTATAGAGTGGCTGAGTGATAATACCATGATGGAGGAAGTGCACAGTACCATGGGAGAATATAGAAGTTGACCAAGTTTAAGGGAATTCAGGGCAGCTTTCCTGGAGCTGTATAAACTGAAATCTGAAAAAAGAGTAGAAGCCAAGTGAATGAGAGTGGTGATATGAGTGTTATCTTGGTGGGGGCAGGGAGTGCTGAGGATGGAGGGAGGGAATACAGAGACGGGAGAGAATTATGCAGGACTCTCAGCAAATTCATGGGAGTAGGGATGGGAGTTATGAGAAGGGCAGGGGCATGAAAAGGCTAGATTTGGACAGAGAAAGGGACTACCTGGTTCCTATAGGGCATTCATAGGCTAAGTAAAGGAACTTGGATATTATCCTAAGGTTAATAGGAGGCCACTGGCATTCAGGTGTAACCACTAAGTCTCCAGTGGTCACACCCATTCCTTCCTCCTTTGACCATTATCTTTTACTATCTGAAATTACATTATTTATAGTCTGTTTCTCCTACCAGATTATAAGTTCCAAGGAACCAAGAACTTGATCTTATTTATTACTGAATCTCTAGCTATAAAATAATGCTGGCATTTAGTAAACAATAAATATTAGTTGAATGAATGAATAAGGAAATTGATTTCTCACTTGGGAAAACTGTTGATCCATTTATGGGTTTTTACCTTATTGGAACTACTTATGTTCATTTATAAATTGGTTTTTCATTATCCAGTTCATCAACATAAAGTAAATTAGGTCTTTTAAACTTTGATAACTATTTTGGTGTCTCTCTCCTGCCTGTGACCTGTGGGCAGGATTTATAGGCCATATATGTAATTTTAAATAACCAGATATTAATTATATTGCTAAAACATGGTAAAATTGATTTAGACATTTATTCATCACAACAACACATCAACACACAGCATTATTTATTATAGTGGAAATGTCCAACAGTGGGGGAATGATAAAGTATGGGCTCCTGGGTGGCTCAGTCGGTTAAGCAGCTGCCTGCCTTCTGCGCAGGTCATGATCTTAGTGTCCTCGCGTCAGGCTCCCTGCTTGCTCCCTGCTCGGCGGGAGTCTTCTTCTCCTCCCACTGCCCCTCTCTCTCCTCCACCACCCAACCCCCTGCTTGTGTGTGAGCCCCACCTCTCTCTCTCAGAAAAAAAAAAAATATATGGTGTATCATACCATGAAATACTACACAATCATTAGAAGTCTTTTTTTTTTTTTAAGATTTTTATTTATTTGTTTGTCAGAGAGAGCACAAGCAGGGGGAGCAGCAGACAGAGGGAGAAGCAGGCTCCCCTCGGAGCAGGGAGCCTGACAAGGGACTCTTATCCCAGGACCCTGGGGTCATGACCTGAGTGGAAGGCAGACGCTTAACTGAGTGAGCCACTCAGGCATCCCTAGAAGTCATGTTTTTGAAAACTATTCAACAACATAGAAAAGTGCTTTTTTTAAAATAAATTAATTTTATTTTATTGTGTTAGTCACCATACATTACATCATTAGTTTTTGATGTAGTGTTCCATGATTCATTGTTTGCATATAACACCCAGCGCTCCATTCAGTACGTGCCCTCTTCAATACCCATCACCAGGCTAACCCATCCCCCCCACCCAGAACCCTCTGTTTCTCAGCATCCATAGTCTCTCATGGTTCGTCTCCCCCTCCGATTTCCCCCCCCTTCATTTTTCCCTTCCTGCTATCTTCTTCTTTTTTAAAACATATAATGTATTATTTGTTTCAGAGGTCCAGGTCTGTGATTCATCAGTCTTACACAATTCACAGCGCTCACCATAAGGAAAAGTGCTTTTAATATTAAGTGGAAAACATGAAGATACAAAGCTGAATATAGAGCGTGATCCTAATTTTTATAATTATAAAACTGGAAGGAAATATACCAAAATATTAAATAATCATTATGTTTGGATGGAGGATTGTGGATGATTTTTAGTTTTTCATTAATTTTCTTTGGTTTATATTTTCCAAATTTTATACCTGAATATGCATGGGTGGGGGAGAAGTTGGGCAGAGTTCAAATGTTTTGCCTTGCCAGACATTTTTCAGCAAGCCATGGGTTCTGTTTGATGTTAATGTGAATAGTTTTCAGGAATCAACTTCTGTATCCAACTCTAATTGGATAATGATTCTTTACTTAAAGAGCAATGGAATGTAGCTGCTTGAAAGGGTGCTAGAAAAGGGCTGTTATCTTTGATATCACTGATGGATGGATTTTAGCAAAAGTTCTGACGTATTTTTAGTTAGTATGTTTATTTTAATGATAAGAATTATAATAAAGTTTATCATAAAATAAATTCATGAGTTGTTTGTAGCTCTCTTAACTATGCCTGGGCCAAGTAAGCTCATGGGTAGAGAAGTATCTGACCTTGTTTGTATCATGAGGAGGCTTCCGAACTTGGTAAATTTCATTAGAAAGTATTGAATTAAACATAAGAAACCATCCAATCACATGACACATAGGCTTGGTTACTAAGAAAAGTGCTCTTTATTGACTGGTGTTTGGTATTTCTATCCCAGAGGTATAGCACTTGACAGTAGGTTAGACCTTTTAATTCATAGGTTGAAATATTTATCTCCGAGATTCATGGAAAATTTTTTTCCCATGACAAATACACATTTTAGACTGGTTTTAATTTATTATAAATTTATTAGAAATGACTTAATTTATCTTAAGCTTCAGATCAATTGATGGTCTTTTTTTCTTTCAGGCTTACCAAAGTTTTGGCTTTGTTGCAAAAGTTAAGTCAAGACTTAACTCTTCTCTGGTGAACAAGTGTGCAGATTGTGACAGATGTCCATCCAAGAAATGAATAAACATGCAGTTCTCCCTCCTATCATTAGTAGAAGTGACAAGGAATTTTTGGAAAGTATGCAAAAATACATAATCACAGAAACTGAAAGAGTGGGCTGTACTGAGGAAGGACCTGCTGATGAATATTACATCATATACCGAAACGTTTTTGATAAGGTATCAAAACGCTCTTAAGATGAGGGAATTTTGATGGGGTAGAAATGGTCTATCTTGACAACTAATATTCCTGCCTTAGTAACATCACTGCTTGTTTGAGCACACTTCATTTGTCAATTTTGAGAAGTTCATCCAGTGTATTGGGAAGGGATGAATGGGGAAAATAGAGTGCTGGATTTCGATCACTAGGTAGTTAACGAGTGTTTCAATTGTTTTAGTTTGAGTGCAGGCTGTCAGTTTTTGAGCAACAACTTAGTTGTGCCTTCTAACATCATTTTGGCCTTCTATCTAAAAATATCTGATTTGTTAGGAGTTGGGCTGCCAAGCAGGAACCTGGTAGTTGTTGTTTTGGGTTTGTTTATGATATCATTAAAGTGTTGGCTGAGATTTGATCTAGCGTATTAAGTTGGAACCCTTGGTGAGTTAGAGGTCTCCACAGGTCCAGTAAACAAGAGGTTTGACTGGACTGAACACTGGAAATAAATGAGTTTAGAAAATGTTATGGCTTTATATAACATTTGATTTTGCTTTTTAAGGTTTTAGAAACACTTGTTTTCCTTACAAACAATTGCAGTTTCCCCTTTGGTTCTATATATATATATATATATTTTTTAATCCTTACTTTTTTTAACCCCCTTGGAAGATGCCCTGGCAGTTAAATAAGTGAAATCAGCATCATTTCCTCCTTACTCAGAAGAAATAATTATCTTAAGAATTCTGTAGACTGTTGGTTTCTGAGTAAAACAGCCACAGGCAAAATAGGAACACAGTCTTTTGTTTAATTTTTAAACAGTATACACTATGAATCTTATTTCTTCTCTAATTAAAAACACAGTGCATCGCTCTAAGGAAAAATGAACACAAAGTAGTGATCTATACCTACAAGTGGAATTAAGAAAATGGATGAGTATTCATAAGAGTATAAAATAAAGAAACAGTCTTTTATTTTTTTTTTAAAGATTTTATTTATTTGACAGAGAGAGACACAGTGAGAGAGGGAACACAAGCAGGTAGAGTGGGAGAGGGAGAAGCAGGCTTCCCCGCAGAGCAGGGAGCCCGATGCGGGGCTCGATCCCAGGACCCTGGGATCATGACCTGAGCCAAAGGCCCCTGCCTAACCGACTGAGCCACCCAGGCGCCCCAACAGTCTTTTCTTTTAAGTCATCTAGAAACACCATCTTTTAGAATTGGTACATTGGCAGGTTAGCTTCATTTTATATGTCATTATGATCAGTGATAATTGCTTTTGAGTCATTAAGGAATGTATTGGATGAATGTTTAAAGGCAGTGTTTTGAATGATTTCATCAATATCAAGAATTATGCTGAGACTCTACTTACCTGAAACTAGCAAAGGAAAGTTATCATAACAGTGACATGCTTATCTTTGCATGCCCAAATGCTGACACTTGTCAGAAGTTTTCTTACACGAAGAGTTGTCTGCTTTAAATTAGTAGAGTTCTAGTAAAGTCATTTAGGAGGTGGTGTTGGTTAATTTAATTCTTAAAGAAAAGACATGGGAATAAATAACAGATAATATTTACATCTATATTCCTTATCTCCCTACCTCCCAAGATTTCCATGTGCACTTTCTGTCCATTGTACATTTGTGCCTTGTAAAGAATCCTGTTCTTCAGGACTGAGAGGGTGTCTGAAATAGAAATTATTTGGCACTTAGAGAAACTTTTCTTCTAGTTTCTCAAGATGATTGGTCTTTCCATTTTCTTTTTTTTTTTTTTAAGATTTTATTTATTTATTTGCCAGAGAGAAAGCGTGGGAGAGAGAGAGAGGGAGAGAACAAGCAGGGGGAGCGGCAGGTAGAGGCAGAAGCAGGCTCCCTGCTGAGCAAGAAGCCCGATGTGGGACTTGATCCCAGAACCTGGGATCATGACCTGAGCCGAAGGCAGACTCTTAACCCACTGAGCTGCCCAGGCATCCCTGATCTTTCCATTTTCATGTTATGCTAGCATATTTGCTTGTTAATAAACTATTAATGACTGCTTTCTCTAATCTTCCTTCTTTCCTTGGAAGGATCTAATTAGGCAAAGATGAAAGTATTAACTTGCATCCCTGAATACTTGGAATCAGAGAACAAATACCAAATTCTGCTTAGAAACACACATAGAGGATTTTACCTAGTGAACCATGCCTGAATCAAAGCAAAGAGGACCTGAGACTCCTGTAACAAGAATTGAGGGTAGGTTATAGAAAGAGCCAAAGACTTAGTAAGCAAGGCAGACCAAAGCTAGGAAGAGTGAGCTTCTACAGAGATGGGTGAATTATGGAGGCAGCTGTCCTCTGGAAATGGCTGGTTTTTGTGCTTCTGGTAGCATGTACAAAGAGCCTATGCCCATATATAGGAGCTGAGGTGGAATGACTGCCCTTCCTCTTCTCCCCCAGACCCCTGTCCTTACCAAGTCTCTTGAGTTTAATGCAAACCTGACCCTCAGACTTGAACGACGTAGAGCCAGGAAGCACGTGTGAAAGAGTTAAGTGGGTTGGCTGTCGGAGAATCAGGGGTCACGAGGACTGTGGCCAGATGAAGGACCCATTCGGTCCAAAGCTCCAGCTGATTACTGCCATTAAGGAATGGGGGTTCGTGTTGGTAGATTTTTCAGTTTTCAAGAGAAATGGAAATACAGTTTTTGGTGACATTGCCTACATTTTAAAATATTTTTGTGAGTCAAGCAAAACTGGATTCTGCCTGTAGCATGCCAGTGTGCTTCCTTTACTTCTACGCATCTCCTGTGCGTTCTCAGCGGTTCCCATTCGTGTTCTGAAATCTGTGTCTTCTAGCAGGTATGGGGGCTGATTGTGGTGGCACGACAAGTCTGTTTTCTCTCCGTTACGTTTCCAAACTATATTGGATTGTTGTGGCGTATCCCAGAGGCATGTGAAGTGGAGGATGGCCAGGAACAGTGGGGTATTGATTTGGAAGACTGCAGACGAATGACCTCTGTTTCATTAAAGGTTCCTGGGTGGCCGTCCTCCTGGTTTGGGTAGATGGGTAATATGGTCGTGTCAAAAAGACAACCAGTATCTCCCACTCACATATCCTCTACTGGTGTTTACCACTGATCTGTAATCTGCTTGTACTCGTTCTTGATAGACCAGATCTCTTCCAGACCGGATAATTTTTTCTAGATACTGTTTAGCTAACAGAAAACCAATGGGGGATACCAGAGACTAGAGATGTAGCTGGGATAGACAGCATAATTATAGCTCTTGGAGAAAATTATGGATTGATCATATCTATTCCCTATACATATTGATCCCTTCTAAAAGCCTCATGTGCAGAATTTGGAAATCATAAATTATTTATAATTTTTGTTTTTTAATTTACTTAAAATGCTTGCTAATTATTTTTGCATGGGTAATGCATACCCAAGATAGGCGAGAAGGAAGGAAGGGAGGAAGGAAAGAAGGAAGGAAGGGAGGAAAGAAAGAAAAAGAAAAAAAGAAAAGAAAGCCAATAAAGAAGAATATACAATGGAAAGTCAGGCCTTTTTCACCTCAGACCCTGCTTCCTCTTTGCTTCTCTGCAGGCACCCACTGTTTCCATTTCTTTATATTATCCTTCTAGAGATATTCTGTACTTACACACACCATTGGAAACCATGAATATGTAGATGTTTTCTATAGTTGCACTTGATATCTTAGCAATGGAAATGCAATTGGGGAATTAAGAGTATTGATTAGCCAGTAGGAGCTGATAGGTTAGAAAAATAGAGAGGTGAGAGGAATCCAGGATTTTAAGGTCTGAATGAAGCCAGAGACTAAATTTGGAAACGGTAAGGGATGATAGGCAATTATATTTCAAAGATCTATGATTGAGATAATTAGACCTGGTATTGGTTTTAACTGACATCATATGATGTACGTGTTCATACTAAGTAGAGCAAAAATATCGAAGCTCATAGTATTGTAATGATTCACGAAGTGCATATTCAGTAAATATTAGTTGTCTTTAATACCCTGGGTATTAAAGTTTAAGACTTCTAACTGCTCATCATGTTTCATTTAAGAGATAATCTACAATGCTGTTTGCAAGGCTTTTGTTCCATAGTCTTCTAGAAAAAAAATTCAGTACCATAGGCAGAAAAATCATGTTTCAGGTAATAGAGTATGTCACTGCATACAAATCCATTCTTACTTCAATCAAAAAAGAATATGATGCCTTTATTGAGACAAGGAAGGAAGGACAAAGAACTGCATTTTGTCTTCATGGAAAACTTAAAGCTTTGGCAGCAGAGCCCACAGCTTTGGTGTATCACAGGAAAAGAAAAATCCAACTTGAAACAAAGTAAGTATATTAGTAAGTAGCCCAAAAGGTGATAATTGTTACTTGGTTATATTACCTAGTTAGTGTAACTATAAACAGTGGCTCTTAGCCCCACAAATCCCAAGCATTGTAAATATTAAGAGATTCTCAACTAGATTTATCATAGTGAAATTGTCAAAGATAAGGAGGTCCTAAAAGTAGTTATAGAAAGAAGCAACAATTCAATACCCTCCATTCGGTGTTGTAGCATATATCAGAATTTCTTTCCTTTTTGTGGTTGAATAATATTCCATTTTATGAATATACCACATTTTTATCTAATTATCTGTTGATGGATACTTGGGTTGTTTCTACCTCTGCCTATTGTGAATAATGTCACTGTGAACATTCATGCATAAGTATCTGAGTCCCTGCTTTCAATTCTTTTGAAAGTCCATTTACTTTTTTTTTTAAGATTTTATTTATTTATTTATTTAGAGAGAACGTGAGCAAGGGGAGAGGGAGAGAATGAATCTCAAACAGACTCTGTGCTGACTGCAGAGCCTGATATGGGCTCCATCCATTGACCCTGAGGTATGACCTGAGCCAAAATCAAGAATCGAGCACTTAACCAACTGAGCCATGCAGGCACACCAAAAGTCTGTTTACTTTTAACATGCTCTTCTTCCACAAGCATAAGTTTTTTGGATGAAAGCCAAAGGGTATTTTATTTCCACAGTCCCCCTTTCATAAATACTGCAGGCTCTTACTCAGCCATCTGTAGGTGCCAGGAACTCTGTATAGTAATCAGATGTGGGTAGCCGTTGTCTACTGACAAACTTGTTTTTATTTTTATTTTTATTTTTTTTTAAAGATTTTATATATTTGAGAGAGAGAGAATGAGAGAGAGAGAGAGAACATGAGAAGGGGGAGGGTCAGAGGGCGAAGCAGACTCCCTGCCGAGCAGGGAGCCTGATGCGGGACTCGATCCCGGGACTCCAGGATCATGACCTGAGCCGAAGGCAGTCGCTTAACCAACTGAGCCACCCAGGCACCCCAAACTTGTTTTTAATTTACCAGAAACTGACATTTATATATCTAATTTATTTTAATCTGTTATTTTCCTCCCAGGGCCAACATATCAGTGATAAACTGGGCAGTGAACTTCAAATAATGCTTAAAAGAAATTTATATCTACCTCTTGGTCTTTAAGATCCCCATTTCTGGAATAAGACAGTTTTATCTCAAAGAGGTGCTATCCTTCTTCCAGCTCTAGGATCAAAATTACTATTGGAGGCTGAATAATGGCCTCAAAGATACCAGGTCCTAATCCTGGGAACCTGGAATTGTTACTTTATTTGGAAAAAGGATCTTTACAGATGCTACTATGTTAAGGATCTTCCCAAATAAGGAGATTATCCTGTATTATCTAGGTGGGCTTTAAATACAATCACAAGTGTTCTTTTAAAGAGGTAGAAGGAGACTTGACAGGCAGAAGCGGGGGGAAGGCAATGTAGTCATGGAGGCAGAGATTGAAGTGATGTAGCCCCAGAAGGCCTGCAGCCCCCAGAAGCTGGAGGAGGCAAGGAATAGATTCTTCCCAAGAGCTTCTAAGAGGAAGCATAGCCCTTTGATTTTGGCCCAGTGATACCGATTGTGGATTTTTGATCTCTGGAACTATAGGAGAATAAATTTCTGTTGTTTTAAGCTACCAATAAGTTTTTGGCAATTTGTTACAGCAGCCACAGGAAGCTGAAAGAACTACAAAAATAATTTTATTTGCAAAGGTAATTTTCAACTATAGGGAATAGACATAGTACTTTGTGGCCAGATTATTATGTTTAACACGTACAAATTTTCAGTAAGGTTGTGAATCGTAGTGTAAGATTTTAATGATGCTCTGAAAGAAAACTGTTCCTCACTTTTGAGGTTAGTTAACTTTTTATGGGCATTGTTTTGTAAACTTAACACCTAAGTCCATAATGGTTCAAAATGATAATTTTCCAAAATAAAGTAATGATTTAACCTGTTTTACTTTAAATCTTATGATTAAATAATTAACTAGTTGAAAGAAATATAAGAAAGACTTTCTGTTTTTCAGAATGAGGGTTATTGAAAATAATTCCTCAAAGATTCAATTGCAAATAGACAAAATGAAACAACTTAGGGCAGAATATGATGCAAAAGAAGTAAGATATCATACTTTCTCCAAAGATCCTTCAAAACCTATTCCAGGTACTGTATTTTTTTAAAATGTTTGAAAATCCAACTGTTTTCAGTTATTACCAATCATACAAATTAGTATATATATGCTGCAATATGCATGTGTGCAAGTGTACGAGGACTTTAAGCAGACTTCACAAACAACTTTAGCTCGGGCTCCATGTCGATACAAGGGAATGAGACAACTTCAACAACCCTGAAAGACTGAGAGAGTTCCAGACTGGCTGGATTATATAAAGTATAAGGGAGTGACTATTAAAATTGGGTTCCTGCATCAGTGTCATGTTACCTGCAAACCTGTTAGAAATGCAAATTCTGGCCCCACACTTATTGTGTCAAACTCCAGGGATGGGAGTTGGGGTGGGGGTGGGGTGGAGCTCAACAGTCTTTTAGCAAGGCCTTCAGGTAGTTCTAAAGTTTGAGAATCCCTGGTATAATATATGAAAAAACTATAATGTATTAAGTTCTAGTGAATATTGTTGATTCACACTGATGTCAGCATTCACTGGTTCTTTATCTTCAGCTAAGCCACATTTTAAGAAATTGGAGTATATCGTAGAATTCGTTGGGATGTTGAGAGGTTTGTATGATGCATGGATAGAAGAATTGCAAATATTCATCTTGGAGAAAAGGGAGACTTTGAAAATAGCCAACTGTATTCAAAACTTTTAAGGATTTCCACCAGTTTTTATCCAGAGGCAGAATCAATAGGTGGAAATTTTAGGAAGTCAGATTTGGTTTCAATAGAAGAAACTACGTCTTGAAAATAACGAACTGCTCCATACCAGAGGATTTCACCTAAGGTTGGATGATCATCCTGCATTTGGTGGAAGCAGGGACTAGATTCATTTCAAATATAAAATTACGATAATAAAACTACAAATAAGGTACATATGAATAAGTAGAGAATAAGTCAAACTGATTAAATGCTGAGAGGATTCAGGGTAAGAGAATGATTAAAAGTTGAGTAGGATTAATCCAGGCGGGTTTCTGGGAGAGAATTTTGATGTATGCCATTAAAGCCAACAATTGGCCTGAATAAGGGAATCATTTCAAGTGGGTGTAAATGGGTTGTTATGAATAATGAATACAGGGGCAAGGAGGGAGAGAGGACTGAGGGCTTGGCATGTTTTATAAACTTCACACTGGAGAGAATAAACAGATTACCCTGGAGTTTGTTGTAGTAGATTAATGGAATCTTTGGTTAGAAATCTTGGGACAAAAATCCTGAATTGTTAGGCAGAAGCTCTTAGTGGTATTAACAGTGATATTTAAATGTTTGCAAGGTGTGATGGTGAGGTCATTAAAACTTTTTAAGATGCTTTCAAGATTTTACTTACTTACTTACTTACTTAATTTGACAGAGAGAGAACACAAGCGGGCGTGGGGGCAGCAGAGGGAGAGGGAGAAGCAGGCTCCCCGCAGAGCAGGGAGCCCAATGTGGGGGTCGATCCCAGGACCCTGGGATCAAATCATGACCTGAGCCAAAGGCAGGTGCTTAACCTACTGAGCCACCTAGGTGGCCTTCAACTCTTGATTTCATCTCAGGTCCTGATCTCAGGGTCGTGAGATCAAGCCCCCGCTTGGGCTCCATGCTGAGCATGGAGCCTGCTTAAGATTCTATCTCCCCTTTCCCTTCCCCAGCTTGTGCACACCCCCCGTCTCTCTCTCAAATATAAAAAACAAAATAAAAAGCTTAAAAAAACTTTTTAAGATACTAAGTTTTGGACAATCAGCTTTCATTGATGATATGTTTAAAACTGCTACACATTTAAAATTGTGTGCCAATTCTTTTTATGTTCAGTAAGTTATAAGTTCATGCTACCATTTCTTAATTATTTCTTAACATAGCAAACTATGATCTATTTTGCTAAGACTTGCCATTTGAGCACAAGAGTCCCCAACATGGTTTCACTTTTGACCTGTTCCCTTTTCCCTGTAGGCATGACTCTCCAAGAATCTGTCAATTTAGTTGCTCTCACTAAATACCTGAAACATCTTGAAGATAAATATGCTGAAATTAAACAGGCTATGTTGAAAAAATATGTACCAGTTCAGAGAAAGGCAGAGTTAGATGAGGAAATGATTGTAACATTAAAACGGAGAGATTTAGCTGAAAATCTGAACAAAGAATTACAGTTTCGGTATGAAAGTTGATTATATACTTTTTAAGTTTGAAGCTTTTATTTGTGTTTATTCTATTACTCCACTATTTGATTTTAGCTTCAGTATATTGATTTTTTTTTCTTTGTAGTCATCAAAGACTGCAGATTATTTCAAATGCATTTACTTCATGGGTAAAATCTGATATGAGCAGCTCATTTGAAGACTTTGTGGAGCAAATTCAGAAAACTAAAAGTTTACCTGGTAATTTATCTTTATTTTTTAATTAGCACAAATAATGGAAAACATCATTTTCCCCCCAGGAATCTAAAGAGTGAGAATTTTCCTAGCCTGAGCTTAAAGAAATAAAAAATGTACTTACTTTTGTTATGTCTCTATTACCTGATGAGCTTCTTCCTTCAACAGCTAACAGACAATTGGTAAATAGTAGATGTGGTAAGCCTAAGAGAGAATACCTAAAAATGTACCTGAAAATACGGGAGACATGAACAGGGAGGCCAGTCAGTTTAGGAAGAGGTTGGTGCTGTTAGAAACCATAGCATTAAGTTGCTGATTAATTAAACATATATATATTTATTATTTTCTATTGATTGATAAATATCCTGTGGTGCTTTCAGTAATTATAGGTGACGAAGGCATTGTTGAAGAACTGCTTGAAGACGATCCAGGCAAGGCAAAAGAAGCTGAAATTTTGCTTTGCTACATTGAAAGGCAAATATTTTAAAAGCTTTGATTTTCCTTGTTAAAATGTTACCACATTTATTTTTTATTTAAATATTAAGTAAATATTTAATACTTATAAATGTTTAGCATTTATTTAACATCTTGATGAGCTACGGTCTCTAGATTTTATATTTTTACAATTTTACTCTAACAAATTAGAAAATAAACTAGAATTTTAAAAAAATAGATTCTTTGTGTGAAAAATATTAGATGGGTAGTCTAGGAGATTTTTCAGAGGATATAGGTGGCTCATAGTGTTGATTTAAGTTTTATTTATATATATATTTGCATTTCCTAGCCATTAGCCTGATGTTATGAAATGTTTTTGAGAATGCCATCTTGAGTCAGATTATCCTAATTCAGGCATTTTTTTTTCTCATTTCTTCCTAATGTTTAAGTTACTATATGTAGTGTATAATAGAGGCTTACAGAGACCTCAGACTATTCTTTAAGACATTAATTTATAGGCTGTGAGTCCAATATGTAAGGAACATATGTAATATTCCTAGTCATATGTTAAACAATTTTTAATTGTGGATTGTCTTACTGATATGGTACAAAGAGGGGCAAAGGTCATTTTGGGGCAGTGCCAAAGCCTGTGCTATTTCCTTACACTGTAGGCATTCCCACGTTTATCAGCGTTAGATATGAGAGCAAAACCCTTGTTGAAATTAAAAGTTTTATGTATTTTGCTTTTTAGTATTATCTTGGTGTTTTTCTCCTCTGGGGTTTCAAATTCATTTGCAACACTGTAAATCCTTAAATCCTGTTTGCCATAGTTTTATTAATTGTGGGATAAGGGCTGGTTTGAAGACATTTTGCCCTAGGAAGAGGAGTAGAGGCTTAAGTTAACTATTATTTTTTCTTGTTGTGTTAGTCTCATAATTAATCAGGAGTCTGATGCCTGGCAGAGCAACATAGGCTTCTGAATACCAAGGACACCTCTTGATCTCTAATTCCCCATTCTTGGTGTTTCGATTACTATTTCCCCTAGGCTGAGTCTCTAAGCAGATTGCTCTTCTTTCCCCTGATATCCCTTTTCATCTGCAGATGATATGAGAGAAAAAATCTGAGCTCATTGTGAATTCAGTTCAAGTTCTTTCCATTTTCTGTGTCTTGCAGTAAGTACTATAGGAGTAAAGTACAGGGTAAGGTTCAAAGTCTTCTGTCAGGTGAGTTTTATTCTGAGGATACAAAAAATGACAGAACATTACAGAAAGAGTAAAAAAACATCTTACTGAGTGAATGAATCTAGATATAGTTTTTCTATATTACTGTGGTTAGTCTGTTTTAGACATTTCTAATCAGTTTTCCTTTCTTTTTTATGTGTACTATTATAATGTATAATGAAATGGAATGGCTGTAGGTTCAATGACTTAATGTCGCTTGGTGAATATGAAAAGGCAGCTTGTTTTGCAGCAAACAGTCCTAGAAGAATTCTTCAAAACATTGGGACAGTGAACAAATTTAAGGGTAAGCATTTTTCTCTGAACCTCATGTATGTATGCAAATTGTACTTTTTTCTCCTGATAGAGTGGAAAGAGTATTGAAATAGGAGACTAAAGATCTAGGCTCCAGCCCTATCTCTGCTATATACTCAGTTTCTTTTAGCTGTCACATTGAGGAATTTGATTAGGTTTTCTACATTAAATGAGGAAATATTTCAAGTATACAGAAAAGTGTGGAGAAATGTACAACGGCCATATACTCACTGTCAAGATTTAGTAAATGTTAACATTTTGTCAAATTTGCTCCACTTCCTTTTAAAAAAGCTTTGTTGTTTTAAGTTGACACACATGCAACACAGTGTATGTATTTACACAATTTGGTAAGTTTTGACATTTGTATCACCCAAAAGTTCCGTCACTGCCCTCAGTGATCCTTCTCTCTGACTCCTCCTCACCCCTCCCATCTCCCTCTCTCCCACAGCTTCCTCTCAGGGGTAACTGCTAGTCTGTTTGCAGTCACTGTAGATTAGTTTGCATTTCCTAGAATTTTACATAAATGGAATTACATAGTAAGTAATCTTTTTTGACTGACTTCTTGCACTCAGTATTATTATTTTGCAGTTCATCCATGTGTTGCATCTATCAATAGTTCATTCTTTTTTATTGTTGAGTAGTATTCCATGGTATGAACACAAATCCTTTATCAGATATATGATTTAAAAATATTTTCTCCTGGTCTGTGGCCTGTCTGTTCATTCTTTTTGAAGTATCATTCTAGGAGAAGTTTTAAATTTTGTTGAAGTCCAATTTGTGAATTTTTTTTTTCTTTTATGGATCATGACTTTAATGTTATACATAAAAAAATCTGTGTCTAATCTGCAGATTTTTAACTTATGATTATTATTTTTTGGTAAGAATTTTATAGTTTTAAGTTTACAGTTAGGTCTGTGATTCAGTTTCAGTTAATTTTGCTATGTGGTGTGAGGTATGGGTTAAGGCATTTTTTTTGCCAGTAACTATCCAGTTGTTCCATGATAATTTACTAAAAGGACTTTCTCCACATAATTGCGTTTGTTGAAAATCAGTTGTCCTGGGCGCCTGGGTGGCTCAGTTGGTTAATCGACTGCCTTCGGCTCAGGTCATGATCCTGGAGTCCCGGGATCAAGACCCACATCTGGCTCCCTGCTCAGCAGGGAGTCTGCTTTTCCCTCTGACCCTCTTCCCTCTCATGCTCTCTATCTCTCATTCTCTCTCTCTCAAATAAATAAAATCTTTAAAAAAAAAATCAGTTGTCCTTATACTTTTAGGTCTAATCTGTTTCACTGATCTATTTGTTTATCTTGATGCTAATGCTACACTGTCTTGATTATTGTTGCTTTATAGTAAGTGTTGAAATCAGAGTGTTAGACTTCAAACTCTGTTTTTCTTTATCAAATTTTGATAAAGAGTCTTTATCCAGACTCTTCTGAGTCTTTCATATTTCTGTTTAAAATTTTAGAATCCGATTGTAAATTTCTATAAAAAATTCTGGGGATTGCATTAAATCTATAGATAAATTTCAGGAGAATAGACACTGAACAATATTGGATATTTGGTCCAGTGAACCCATAAACATGGTATATCTCTACATTTATTTGGGTCTTTAAAAATTTCTTTCAGCAGTGTTTTGTAGTTTTCAGTTTTCAGTTCTTTTCTTTAACACTGAAAAATTTAGTATTTTACTTAAAAATTTTCAGACATCTTACAAATATCCAGGAACTCTTCCTTTGGATGTGTTCTGAAATTGGTGAAGTTAAAAGTGATATTAGTATATCCCTATGGTTTTTTTTTCTTCTTCCCTTGACTGGATCTGCTTAAAGTATGGATTACAAGTTTTAATAAAAGTCAAAGCTTACAATTAAGGAATGCTTAAATAGGTATAATTATCAGCAAAATTGGAAAACAGCCAACTTTTATTACTTTTCTAGGTATGTGAATCTTATGCTGAGAAATTCACCAATATTAGACGGATGATACTTAATTGTTGCCGAGAATAAAAAAAGTTCTTTTATTTTAAAACTTGACTATTTTTAAAGGATGAGAAGCTCAGAAATAAATAGAGAGGTATAAATAAAGAAGGGATATACTCAGTGGAGCTTACAGATACAGATAATTTTTCTTATTATTTTCATTGTAATTGGAAATTTTTGATGTCAAATATATACAGCCTGTTTTTCATTAATTTTTCTTCAAAAAACCCTTTAAATTCAACAGTTTGAAAAAAATGTTCTTTTACATTTATTTGAGCATGAAAAATTTGTTGCCATATACATAATGCATATGAACATATATATTTATAGAGATTATTTGACTGTGAATTGTGTGTAAATGGCCCATTTCATATTTTTGCATGCACAATTTTCAGCATTCTATCCTAGTGGATGTAATGCTGAGTATATTCTTGTAGCTTTTATTTGGTGGACTCAAAGTCAAGAAACCATTCCAACAATTATTTACAATTGGATAGCTGACTATCAGGTCATGTTACCCTGTATACATACATCATGAGTAATGACACTGTACATTTTGAGTGTTAAACTGTTAACTTTTATAAGCCTGAGATTTAAATTGGTATATATAAAAGTAGCCAAAGCCTAAAGAATGATGACAGAAGAGGTTTCTACCAGAGAGCATTTATAGTTTCATAAGGGACACAGAGCAAAGAGAATTAAATGATTTTTAATCTGTGTTTAGGTCTTGTACATCTTTTGTCAGATTTATTTTTAAATATTTTATATTTATATTATTGTCATTTTTATTTTGATTTCCAAAATTATTTGTTGGTAATATATAGAAATATAATTAACTATTATATATTGATCTTGTATCTGTGACCTCTTTAAACTTGTTTATTAGTTCTAATACTTTTATTGTGTATTCCTAGAATTTCTACATAGCTAATCATGTCATCTGCTAAAAAAGGGTTCCACTTCTTCCTTTCCAATATGGATGCCTATTATTTCTTTTTCTTGCCTTATTGCAGTGGCTAGATCTTCCATTACAGTGTTGAATAGAAGTGATGAGAGCAGATATCATTGTCTTGTTTTTGACCTTATTTTTCATTATTAAGAATGATATTAACTGTAGATTTTTCATGGATGCCCTTTATGAGGTTGATGAAATTGCCCTCCATAGTTGGTGAGAATTTTATCAGGGATGAATGTTAGATTTGTCAAATACTTTTTCTGCGTTTATTGAGATGACCATGTGGTTTTTGTCCTTTTAGCCTATTAATATAATTTATTGCCTTCCTGGGGAAAATTCCACAATTTTTATATTAATTTTACTATAGTTACAGAGTTGTATAACCATTTCCATAACTTAATTTTAGAACATCTTCATCATTCCAGAAGTAAACCTTGTACCCATTAATTCCTCATTCTCTACCCCCTGCTCCCTCTCTAAACCCTGGGTAACCACTAATCTACTTGCCATCTGTATGGATTTGCTTATTCTGGACTTTTCATATAAATGGGATCATATAATAAGTGTTTTTTTGTGACTGGCTTCTTTCACTTAGCATGATCTTTTTGAGGTTCATTCATGCTGTAACATGAATATTCCATCGTATGGATATATAATGCATTTTGTTCATCCATTTGTCAGTTGTTAGTAATTTGGGTTGTTTTTACTTTTTGGCTATTATGAATAATGCAGCTGTGGACATTTGTGTACAAGTTTTTATGTGGACATACGTTTTTATTTCTCTTGGGTAGATCCCTAGGAGTGGAATTGCTGGGTTATATGGTAACTCTGTGTTAACACTTTGAATAACTGCTAAACTGTTTGCACTATTTTTCATTCCCACCAGCAATATATGAGGATTCCAATTTCCTCACATCCGTACCAGCCCTTGTTAATGTCTGTCTTTTTGTTGTAGCCTTTCTAATCCACGTGAGGTGGTAATCTCATTGTGGATCAATTGATTTATTATTTTTTAAAAATTTTAATTCCACTATAGTTAACATACAGTGTTATATATTGATTTCAGGTGTACAATATAATGATTCAACAATTCTATATATTACTTAGTGCTCATAAAGCTAAGTGTTCTCTCATTGTGGTTTTGGTTTGTGTATCCCTAATGACTAACAGTGTTGAGCATCTTTTCATGTGCCTATTGGCCATTTATATATCTTTGGAGAAATGTCTATTGTTTGCCCATTTTAAAATTATGTTATTTGTGTTTTTATTATTGAGTTGTGACAGTTCTTTTTATATCCTGGATAAAAATCTCGTATCAGACAGATGATGTGCAAATATTTTCTTTTAATCTGTGGATTTTCTTTTCACTTTCCCTTTTTTTTAAAGTTTCTTTTCTTTTTTTTCTTTCTTTCTTTCTTTTTTTTTTTTTAGTAATCTATACATCCAAGGTGGGGCTCAAACTCATAATCCCAAGATCAAGAGTCACATGTTCTTCCAATTTAGTAAGCCAGGTGCCCCTCTTTTCACTTTCTTAAAGGTGGGTTTTTTGGTTTTGGGTTTTTTTTTTTTAAGGAGGCTCCATGCCCAGCATGGAGCCCAGTGCAGGACTTGAACTCATGACCATGAGATCAAGACCTGAGCCAAAATCAAGAGTTGGACACTTAACTGACTGAGCCACCCAAGGGCCCCTTGATGCTGGTTTTTAAAGCACAAAAGTTTTAATTTTGTTGAAGACTAATTTACCCATCTTTTCTTTTATAGCTGTGCTTTTGATATTGTATCTAAGAAGTCTTTGCCTAACTTAAGATCCTGTGTTTTCTTCTAAGAGTTTTGTACATAGGTCTGTGATCTACTTTGAGTTAGTTTTTATGTATGGTGTAAGATAGTGATCCAGATTCATTCTTTTGTATGTAGATATCTAGTTATCCCGGCACCATTTGTTGAAAAGACTGTTCTTTATCCATTGAATTATTTTGGCCCCTTTGTCAAAAATCAATTGATTATAAATGTTTAGAGTTTATTTCTGAACTCTTAATTCTATTATATTTCTCTAGATATCTATCCTATGTCAGTATCATACAATTTTGATTACTGTAGCTTTGTAGTAAGCTTTGAAATTAGAAGTGTGACTCCATTTTTCTTTTTATTAGTATTAGCATTATATATCTTTTCACATATTCTTACTTTTGATCTATTTGTGTCTTTGTATTTAAAGTCACTGTCTTTTACATACACCCCTACGTCCGATGTTTATAGCAGCATTATCAACAATAGCCAAACTATGGAAAGAGCCCAAGTGTCCATCGACTGATGAATGGATAAAGAAAATATCTACACCTATCTATATATGTGTGTATATATAAATGTATATGTATATCTATATCTATATATCTACACACACACACACACACACACACACACACACACACACACACACAATGGAATATTACTCAGCCAAAAAAAAGAATGAAATCTTGCTATTTGCAATGACATGGATGGAGCTAGAGTGTATTATGCTAAGTGAGATAAGTCAGTCAGAGAAAGACAAATACCATATGATTTCACTCGTGGAATTTAAGAAACAAAACAGATAAACATAGGGGAAAGGGAAAAAAAAAAACGAGAGGGAAGCAAACCATAAGAGACTCTTAACTATAGGGAACAAACTGGGGGTTGATGGAGGGGAGGTAGGCAGGGGGCATGGGCTAAATGGGTGATGGGTATTAAGGAGGACACTTATTGTGATGAGCACTGGGTGTTATTATATGTGATTAATCACTAAATTCTATACCTGAAACCAATTTTACCGTATATGTTAACTAACTAGAATTTAAATAAAAACTTGAAATTAAAAAATAAAAAATAAAGTCAGTGTCTTCTAGGCAACATATACTTGGATTCTACTTTTTTTTAAAGATTTTATTTATTTGACATCCTCCTTTTTTATACACTCTGACAATCTTTGCCTTTCAATTGGAGTGTTTAGGTCACTTACATTTAATGTGATTGTTGACATGGTTGAGTTTCGTTTTCTATTTTTCTTACCTCTTCTTTTTACTATTTTCCCCCTCTTTTTCTGCCTTCTTCCTGGATTAGTTGAATTTTTTCATGATTCCATTTTTCTCCTTTGCTGATTATGAGCTATAATTGTTGTCTTATTTTCGTTGTTGTTTTAGTGTTTGTAGATTATATCTTTAACTTATCACATTCTACCCTCAGGTGATTTTATACCACTTGATGTATTAAATAAAAACAGTATACTTCTAAATACTTATATTCATAGCATATTCCATTTCTGGTTTTCATTTATTCATGTGGATTCATATTTCCATCTGGTATTATTTTCCTATTGCTTGAAAGACTACCTTTAACATTTTTTATAGTGCAGGTCTGCTGGTGGTATATTCTTTCAGCTTTTAAAATTTCCATGTGAAGGCTCTGAGGGAGATTACATTCCATATTTCTCTCCTAGCTTCTGGCTGGCTGTCAGCAATTTTTGGCATTCTTTGGCTTGTAGACATATCACTCCAGTGTCTGCCTCTGTTTTCACATAACATGTGATATTATTTAGTCATTGTCCAAAATGTAATGTTTAATCCATAAACATTAGTTAAAAATTATAAGTATGTAATTTTGGATTGAAATTAAAAATTTTTTTTTTAATTTTTAAAGATTATTATTTATTTATTTAACAGGGATAGAGAGAGAGCACAAGTAAGCAGAGCGGCAGGCAGAGGGAGAGGGAGAAGCAGGCTCTTCACTGAACAGGGAGCCCGATGCGGGGCTCGATCCCAAGACCCTGGGATCATGACCTGAGCCGTAGGCAGCCGCTTAAATGACTAAGCCACCCAGGTGCCCCTAGATTGAAATTTTTGAAGATGCAAAGATGAAAATAATATGAAGTAAGAAAAACCAAACTATTAATTACTTAAAGTGTTCAACTCAAAAACTTTTCTTCTCTCTATAGCTGTTGGAAAGATTAGAGGCAAGCCTTTTCCATTACTCTTATTTTTTGAGACCATCTTTAGCACAAGTCATGCATGTAGACGTCCTATTGATGCAGAACTAACCCTGGAAGGAATCAAATGTGGATTATCTGAAAAACGTTTAGATTTAGTTATCAATTGGGTCACCCAGGAAAGGTAAGCAAAGTAAAGCTTTTAACTTAATTTTGATAGTTGGTTAATAAAGTTGTTTATTCTCAAGATTTCAGTAGTTTTTTATTAGTACATTATTTGAACATTTATCTCCAGTCTCTATTGAAATTAATTGGTCAAAAAGATTTACTAAGCATTCATGCAGTAATGGGGCCTAGTCACAATGAGCCCAGATCAGGAGTTGAGTAATGGCAGTTCATGGATGATTCATAACCACTTAATGGTGGATAGAAGTTGATTGGTAAGGGTAGAAAAGGATTAATCAGTATCATTGCTACTCAGAGGGATAAGGCAGGAACCTGGATCCAGATAAGTTATGGGTGCATGTAAAGAATAAATCTAGGAGAAAACTTATAAGCAGGATGGATGTGGACCAAGGTAACATTTAGAACATACAAACCATTAAGGATAGACAGGAGATGGCTTCTTGGAGTTAGGTTTCAATACAGATTGGGAGATTTGTACTAGAGCCCCCTTAGGTTAGATTCCCTAGAACCAAAGCCTCAGACAGGAATTTGAGTGTACATGATTGATAGAGGGAGGGCTTCTCCAGAAAACCATATACGGGAGTGAGTGAAACAGATTAGAAAAGAGCGTGTGTGTGTTTGGGAAGCCAAGAAAGGATGTAATCTCAGGCAAGTTCTAACCTTATAAGGCTCTGGAGCATAAACCACACCACAGGGCTATCCCCCTTGAGGCAAGGGGCCAGCCTTTTGTACCTCTCTGTTAGATTCTAATAGGGCTATGGGCTGCCTGGATGGGCATAACTTCCTAGGCATGGTGGCTCCCACCAGCGAAGGGCAATTGGATGTAGAAGAAGGGGACCTGTAAGCCATTGGCAGCCAATACCCAGAGCAGCTGGGGAAGGAGGATCTGGGCAGGACATTAAAACAGCATCTATTATAGTCAACCATTTGCACAACACCTATGTATTTGCTTTTCACCTTAATTTCACTCCGTCTAGTCCAGGATTTTGTGGGTATAATTCTGGGGGGATCTTACAAGAGGAGGGTTAGTGGGACAGCCCTTGTCACGACAATGGATCCTATGGCTGTTACTTGTTTTTTAAAACTTTATTGAGATATAATTTATATACAATAAGCGATACATATTTCAAATGTACAATTTGATGAGTTTTTGGAAAACAGCATTGTGGAGATATAATTGACATATAATAAACCATACATATTTGTAGTGTACAGTTTGACAAGTTTTGACATATGTATACACCCATGAAATCATCACCACAGCTGAGATAATCAACCTCATTCAACCCCCATTCCATCTCCAAGTAACCACTCATCTACTTCCTGTCATAATATATGAGGTTTTGTTTTCTAGAATTTTATAAAATGGAATTATATATTATATATTATTTTTTCTTCTTGGTCTGGCTCTTTCACTTATAGTTATTTTGAGATTCTTCCATATTAATTATTACTCATCTTTCTTCAGTATCCATTTTATATTCTCACTCTTACACTTCTGTTGGTCTTGATGGCTTGTCTGGTAGGATGACTGTGGTTGCCATGCCTTTATCAAACCATGATTATTGATACCCATTAACAGTTTTCATTTGGCTTGGGACTACCAAGAGCTATCCCAGTAGATTATCTGCCACCTGTAACAAGCAACTATATACTATTAAAAAACACCTACTGGGTCTTATTAAAGTTGGAGTGTCTATCCAGGGAACACCAATAACTGTTAAACTAGAGAGCTGCTTATCATGAACTGGATTCTGACAGGCTTACCAAGTCATGAGGTCAAGTGGGCTCAGAGAGTCCATCTAAAATCAGATAAAATCAAGATCATGCTCAAGCAGATCCAGAGAATACAGGTTAGCTTCAGAAATAGGTGGCCCAGAACCCATGTCAACTACCACCAACTGACTGACACTACTTCCACAGTAATGTCACACCTATGGCCTCATGCACGGGTGGGGTGACCTAAGACCAGCAGACAAGGAAGAAAAAACCCAAACTTAGCTCATGGATGGTTCAGGTTGTGTCCAGGTGATGCCAGCTTGTCACTCCATCCTTTGAAGATGGAGTAACATCCTTCAGGATGAAATGCACTCTTTAAACCAGTGACAATTACATGGTGTATCCCCAGTAGGTAGAATACTTGGGTCTGGGAGATAAAAGAGTGTCTCTGCTCAGGTATCATTCCTAGTAGCCCACATGGGGAGTATATTAATTAGGCTTCTCTAGAGAAATAGAATCAATAATATATTTAATATATTATTTTAATATATATAATACAAATATACATATATTTCCATATATCAAATTATGTGTGTATATGTATATATGTATGTGTATATAATATATATATATATAAAGAAAGAAATTGGCTCATGTGATTATGGAGGCTGGTAAGTCCCAAGATCTGCACTCAGCAAGCTAGAGACCAGCAAGCAAGAGAGCCCTCAGTGGTGTGAGTTTCAGGCTGCTCAAGACTTGAGAAAAGCCAATGTTTTCTGTTTGAGCCCAAAAGTAGGAAAAGACTGATGTCCCAGCTAAGCAGTCAAGCAGGAGTTCCCCCTTATTTGGAAGAGGGTCAGCCTTTTTGTACCATTCAGGCCTTCAACTGATTAGATGAGAGCCATCCACATTCACAAAAATCTGCTTTATTCAGTCTACCGATCCACTCTCTTTCAAGTACATCCTCATGGACTCCCAGAATAATATTTGACTAAATATCTGGGTGCTCAATGAGCCAGTCAGGATGACACATACAATTAACCATCACAGGGAGTCTGTGCTTTCCACTCCTACAACTTGAGGTTCTGTGAATCCTGGTCGACTTTGATTATCATGAGAAGGTAAGGTTATTGTTACCTAACACGGAAGAGAGGAATATGTTTGGCACTCCATTTCCCTCTTCCCATAAAGAGAGCATGGTAGTTGCACCTGAGTGCATGTCATTTACTGATAGACTCCTCCTCGAGTAATATTGTAAGGGAAGAAGTGAGATGGGATGGAGAAGGGCAAACAGCCGAGCAGGAATGTGAACTCAGGTAAAGTCTAGTGTTAGCTAGCATTACAGGGAGAGGACTACGGAGCATAAACTGTACCAGAGTTGTTTCTTTTTGAATTATAAGACTGGCCTTTTGTATTCTTTATTAGTCATCTGCTCTAGACTACTGGGGGTTGAAAGATAGGCATGATTTTCTGGATGAGGCAGCTCCAGTCAGCTGAGGGCAATTCTTTGGGGAAGGAGAGATTGGGAGCCGTTAGCAGTCAGCTGGGGAAGAGTCACTGGTCCAGTAAAGAGGACTAAAACAGTGTGTGCCTGCTTACAAAGATCAAGCTGTTCTTGCTGGGTCTATGCGGACATATGTTGGGCTCTGAGTATTGGAAGGCAGAGTGAGGAAAGGCCTTCCCGTCATCTGTCTTGTTGCCATGGCCTGCTTATTTTGCAGCCTAAGGGCTATGCTTTCTTGGCTCTGGATGTATATTGACATAGGATACATATTATAGAGTAGTCAGTTTGTGTACTACTGCCTACTGCTGCCCGTTCCAAATTCACCATTTCCCCTGCACGACGCTGGGTAGTCCCAGTCTGTCCTGGATTGATGGCACTATTGTTTACCAGTGCAGAGTATCTCTTTCCCACCCCTCTTGTTACAGCTTCACTTATTGTTCACATAATAGTTAATTATGTTTTAGGAAACTTCTTCATACATATACCTTGCTCTCCCTGCTTTGCCTCTTTCTTTTTCTGCCTGGTCACACCTACACCCTCCACAAAATGTACTTGTCAGGGAGCCCTGGAAATGGTTGAGATGTGAGAACACCATTAGAAAGTGCATGTTCATTAACACTTGTTATCAATGCAGAGACACTTCAGACAAGATTAATTTCCCTACATATACTGATGATTCTTGGCTGATTCTACCTCTTAGTTGTCAGAATTTAAATTCTTATGCAATTCCTTGACTGCATAAATTTGGACAATACCACCACTTTGAAGGATCCTGAGATGGTCTAACAGAATACTGAAGGTAATTCACATTCTTTATTCTTAGCCTCTGTCCTCTGGTCTCTGACTCCAATGACCTGGCCTCTACTACATGGCTACCTTAAAAAGTTCTACAGTTCTTTCCCTGAAGCCCTGTACAGAGCCAGCCCTAAAACAGCCTGGGTTGTAGACTAATCTTGACTCTCTTAGTCATTCTTACCTGAGGAAAGTCTGATCACTTGACACATAAAGCCTAAACTTAAGAAATGATGCTTTACTAGCATTTAGGTCTCTAAATGGCAGACACTGCTCCTAGAAGAGGAAAAATATCCTCTGACATATTAACTTTACAAACTGAACCCTACAAAATAACAGTAAGTAAATATGCATAGATTTAGTGATTATATATTACCTTTATTTTGACTTAAAAGTCTACAATCTGGTTTATAATCAAATATGCCTTAGTTTACTAGTGGAGTTAAGCATATTTTCTTTTATTAGTCATTTGTATTCTCCAGAGTCAGGCTGGAGATCAACTTTCAGAAGTCCCTGAAAGTCTTCTTAGAATTAGAAGTAGGGGTGGTCAAACCAAGAAGGGGACTTTTGGGAAAGGGAAGGAGGTAGGATGAGGTGATTGGGGGTGGGGGAAATGTGGGCAGAGGTGCCCAGGCTCATTTCCAGCCAGGTGTAGGGTGCTTGATTATGTCCCTTTCCCCCAGGGTTAGAACCCCTGTTTATCTTTCCCCTTTTTTCCTTCAGGGTCAATTCCATTCTTTTGGGGCTTGGCCCATTTCCCCCCTTTCAATAATTTTTCTTTTTCTTTTTATTTATTTTTAAAATTTTTTCTTTTTAATCATACTCTTCTTTCCTCATCATCCTTTTGGAAAGTGACAAACAGAGACACAGCAACCTCAGTCCTCAGCTCTGGCCTTCTTTCAGGTGGAACACATAATGGTGGTGACTTCTTAAAAAAATAAAACTATGGTATTAATAAGAGAAGTAATAACTAAAATACTGGTATTATCGGGCTCCTGGGTGGCTCAGATGGTTGGGCGTCTGCCTTCGGCTCAGGTCATGATCCTGGAGTCCTGGGATCGAGTCCCGCATCGGGCTCCCTGCTCCTTGGGAGCCTGCTTCTGCCTCTGCCTTTCTCTCTCTCTGCCTCTCTCTCTGTCTCTCATGAATAAATAAATAAAAAATCTTTAAAAGAAAATACTGGTATCATCTTGCTCTGGGAATACAGTCACTATAAAGACTGAAATAATTACTTGTTCAGCCTTAGAAAACACTGTGACTGTAGCTACCAAAACCTGTATTTTGGTACTAAAATGTAGAAGTCAGGTAATTCCTTAGTAAATAATTGATTTATAATCAGAAGCTGCCTTTTGATTTTAGACCCACCTCTCTCTGGCCACTCCAATAAACACAGTAGGCTTTATTTCCTGAATTTTCAGTAAACAGACATTTTGTAGGGGTTTCTGGATTTCCAGGCACCAACATTCTGTAGCTATTAAGAATATAACTAAAATAAAATTTCCATACCACCAGTGATTAGAAGTAATATCTTTAATCACACCCAAATGTGTTTTGGCTTATGCTGATCATTTCTAGGTGGAGGTAATGGGCTAGTGCAGATGGTTTGCTTCAATTTTGTTTGAAGATGGCGCATTAAAATGTGATGACAAGTAAAAAAATAAAAAAATAAAATGTGATGACAAGTGAAACCTATTCAAGTGAGCCATCTCAAAAGAACTACTTCTTCAGTCTCTCCTAATAGGGACGTCTTATAACCTTTTTTCCCCCTGTTGTTTTGTATATTTATCTATATCAATTTAAAAAAATAACACTGGTGTCACACGTTTCTTGCAAACACTTGCAAGATCTGTTACTAATTTTGAGCTAAAATTTGTTGTCACTGTCGTTAACCAACATTTAATGAATTCTTACATTCAGTAGGGTTTAGAATCTAGATAACTGCTGAGAACATTGAGATTCCCAATTATAAGAGAAGTTTTGTTTACCTTGTCATTTTAAATCCCGCCAGTCTTTTTAGGAGAGTTTTAACCGTGTTTGTAGATTTTTTAAAAACTTGAGCTCAGTTTTGCTAAAATGTCTTCCCCCAAAAGAATACATGCTGATTGTTTTTGTTCTTGTTGGTGTTAAATCTTAGATATGTTTAATTTCTCCTATATCAATTGCCTATTAACTTGGAATTCTTATAGACCATAGAAAATCCAGTTCCACTGTGCTGAATTTTTAAATATTTGAATCTCATCCACTCATCAAGAACTCTCTAAAGTATACCTATTGATCTGCTTGCTCTAGGCTCACATTTTCTGAAGAGTTGGGGGATGTGATTTGTGATTTTGGGGAACAGGATACTTACAACAAGGCCAAGTGCCTGGCTTTAGCTCAGATGATCTACAGTGACTGTGGCCTACCCAAGAAAGCTCTTCTTTGCCTATGTCAACAGGGTCAGATTCATGGGGCCATGGAATACATACAACAATTCAAGGACTTTACTTACGGTGAGTGAAACAGTCTACTTAATTGTATACATTTGACTTCTAGACTTTAATTGTAAGATCACCCATGATAGTAGGCAATATTTTGGATTTATATTATAAAGTCTCTTCTGCATACACTGATAAGTAGGTTCGTTTGTTTTTAGTAAAACCTATCTAATTTTTATTGGGTACCTACTTTGTGCCAGACTCTGGGTGGAGTATCCCCACGTCCTTCCAGCCAATCCGCACAACAGTTCCATCAGGTAGGCACTGTTAGACCCATCATACAAGTTGAGATACTGAGGCCCAGAGAGGGAAATGAGCCAAGGCTTGCACAGAGGGAACAGTGAAACAAGAGAGTGAAGTTCGTCAAGTCTGTGGTGCTGATTGAGGGTCCTGGGTAGCCGTGGCCAGCCCTATCAGAGTGGTCTTTGCCTTAAGGCCAGTTGTTCCTGAGGAGATCTTGTTTGTCTCGCATGTCTGGCAAAGGCACTGGGGACTGAGCTTGGGGCTGTCCTGGGACAGAGGGCCTCACAGCCTTGGAGAAGGTGGATGTTTGGGTGTCACTGCTTGTCTCCCTCTGAAGGACACAGTTTATTTTGCAGATATTTTAGACCATGCTATTTAAAGGATTTATTTTTTAAATAGCTGAACTTATTTGTTACATAAATGTTCTAGACTATGATAATAAGCATTAGAAATGAAGAATTAGTAAAATAATGTTCATTTCAAAATTTTGAAACACCTAGGTTGCATTTGGGCAATGATCTGAGAGCACTGTCAACCTTAGGGTAACCTTATTGAATGAGCTGATCCCTTATTTTGAGCCTAGTTCATGAGTAACCTACATATATAGGCATCCTGACATCTCCCACATTCTAGGCCTATGTCTCAATTCTGATTTGCAGGCTTTGTACCCCCAATTCTAAGAAGTTGCAAATGAAATAAAACATAGCACTTTTAGGGCATATTTTTCCAGGAAAGAGGATCATTGATGGCTGTTGAATCTGATCATTTTCAGACAATAACTTGAATTTTTTTATTTGTTATGTAACAGCACACTTGATACTATAGTTTGGCTTTTTACATGCATGATCTTACTTAATCCTTATGTTAACTATAAAGCAGGTTTTGTTATTATCCCTATTTTATAGATTAAAAAAAACTGTGTTTCCACAGAGAAGCTAAGGCTCAAAGAGATAAGTAATTTACCTACACACACATAGCAACAAAACAGAATCTGGTATAGTAGGTACTACTCAATTAATATTTGTTGAATGAATTACATATTTTATTTTTACTATCTAAGTATACAGATTCAGTTTCTGTTTTAAGTATTATTTTTCCATAGATAAGAGATTATTTTAGTCAGTTTAGACATGGAAGGAATATAGGTTTAATTACACTTAGAATTTTTATTGACTGAAATGTTAAGTTTCTGTTTTGCTTGCAAAATTTGCCTTGCATAAGTGCATAGAAACATGATTGACTCACTATCATATTGTTCTGTTCTTCTAGTAGTACATTACAATCTAAAATAATTAGATATATATTGTAATAATTTACAAAGTAATGACACTCTTATGTAATTAGAGCCTTGATGTTTATCCTCAGAATTTATTTAGCACATCATAAGATGAAAATAATAACAAGAAAAATTAAGCTTACAAAATGGAAACATTGTTTGAAAAATTACTTTCCTTATTTTACTTTTTAATGAGAAACAACCACAGCTTTCCATGGTATCATATTGGCCTTGGGGGACAGATTCATTTTGTTAAGACTTTCTGGTTTCAGAAAAAAATGTTCTCTCTTAGATTTAGACTATCAGTTATACACTTACAAATTAAAAAACCCAAACCAAAACCAAATAAAAACAGAAAAGTTCTAAGAAATTTGTTCCAAAAGCATAAGTGTGACTAAAAGAGCATGTTTTAAAAGCAAAAATTAGGGGCGCCTGGGGTGGGTGGCTCAGTTGTTAAGTGTCAGCCTTCAGCTCAGGTCATGATCCCAGGGTCTTGGGATTAAGCTCCACATCAGGCTCCCTGCTCAGTGGGAAGCCTGCTTCTCCCTCTCCCACTCCCCCTGCTTGTGTTTCCTCTCTCGCTGTGTCTCTCTCTCAAATAAATAAATAAATAAATAAATAAAATCTTTAAAAAAAAATAAAAATAAATAAAAGTAAAAATTATTTCTTCCCCCTAATAATTTTTAGAATAAAGCCTGAAATAATTTGTTTGTTCACCTTCCCATTATCATTAAACAAGTGAATATACCTATCTGGAAATTGGGTTATTCTGGATGTGAGGCTTTCAAACTTTGTGGTCTCAGGTCTCTTTTACACTTTTAAAAAGCACTGAACATCCCAAAGAGCTTTTACTTACATGGGTTATGTCTATTGATATTTATCCTATTAGACATTAAAGCAGAAAATTTAAAAATATTTATTCATTTAAAATAACAATAACAACTTAGTATTTTTATGAAAATAGTTTTGACTTTGTAGACCCTAGACCATATTTTGAGAACCAGTGCTCTAGATATTTGTGTTAAACAGATATCATACTTGGTATATAGGCCTTTATAATCTTATTAAAACAGAACATCCATGAGATAAAAAAAAATGATTAATAATATGTCAAACCAAGGAGTAATGAAATGGATTCCAAAATGTGGTAAGCGGAGGGGAAAGGTCATGAGATTTGAATTTGTGTTTTTTCTAATCAGTCAGAGACCATATCTTGCATATAGTTGAGTAAATATTGGTTAATTAATCAATTCAGGGAGAAGGCGATTTGAATACCTGATTGAATGAAGCAGAGTAAGATGTGTGAGTTATGAAATGTTGGAGGCTGGGGGTGCTATAAAGATAGCTTCACCTTAGTGGAGGCCAATTTAAGTGACCCAAATGATAAACTTCTACCTGTTCTCTAGGGAAATTTTTAAAAAATTGTTTGACTTTATTGATAATAGAATTATATTCTGTTATTCTTTGTTTCTTCTTTTACCATTTCTCTCTATATATTTATGTGTGTGTGTGCATGCCTGTGTGTATACATACATACATACATACATACAGTGCACACACATTTATTTATTATTTTGGAGGAGCATTACTATAGGTTGGAAGGTCATAGACTCTGTGGGGGGCTCAGATGAACTGTTCTACTTTATATCATGTATATAATTTTGGGAAAATTAACTTCTCTAAGCCTGTTTCCTCACTATCAATATGAGAATAATAATATCTCACTTATATTGAATATTAAATGCAATGATTTAATAGATTTAAGTTCCCAGTACAGAAATTTGTGCCTGTCAAGAGTGCAAATTACATTTATGGTAGTTCTTGAAAGGCTCTCAGAAATTATTCTGAAAACTACCTCTGTTGTGACCCAAGAAGAATATTTTTACTTGAAAAACTTTAGTAAGTTAACACAAAGTTTATAAATTTAAGAATGTAAATCATGATTGCAGTACTAGATGAACTCAATAGTTAGCTAGTATATTAAACCATATGAATTTGCTTTTTTTGGAGTCAAAAATGGTCAAATACAGGCAACTTCATATGGCTCAACCTCTAGCTACTTGAACTGGCTGATAGCTTCTTAAAGTCTTCATGTTGGAGTTTCTAAATACTTGATATTTTTAGGGAAAAAAATTGCTGAGACCCTTTTTCTGTGCAAGACACAGAAAGAAAGAAATTATACTTACTAGGAACTGGTCCAAATATGAGCAACAGGATGTAGACAAACATAATGTAGTTATTAGATGGAACTTTAGAAATTGGAGCTACCAATTCTAGCACTTTTAAGGTGCATAAACTGAGATCCAAAAGAATAAATGATTGATGGAACTGTGATCAGAGCTCAGGTTTCCTGATTGCCAGTCTAGTCCTTTCTATTCTACCACAGTTCTTTGATAATTTGTTTTTCAGGTAGTGTGTGTTTTAAGTAGTTTTCTTTCATTTTTTTGCGATGCTGAGCATGATTTTTTTTTTCCTGATTGGAGAGATTACTGTTGAGTTCATTGAGGACTTTGGAAGGATTGGAAAAAGAAGTGTTGATTGGCAGGTGTAGACATTAGCTGGTCCCAGTTTGTAGTTGCTGTATCATATTAGGATGTTGAGACATAGTTTTTTCATTTTTTGCTTTCAGATGACCTGATGCAGTTAATAAAGTTATGTCCTCACACTGAATTAATTCAGTGTCTCACTAGAGAATGGAACGGGAAACCACCATCTTTATCTTTCGGTCTTGTTATACTTCATCTGTTTTCTGTAGACATGGAAAAAGTTGGCATTAAGCTACTTCAAGAAATAAGTAAAGGTGGGAAAGGTAAGTATAGTAAAATGTTATAGAAGAGAAAGTAGTGGGTTATTTAGGGAAAGGTTCAAGATTATTATGTCTGAGTTAACTAATTTTTCCTAAGAGTTCCTTCTTGGCAGGAATTGACTTTAGGAGTTTATAAATGTAAAGCTTACCATGTCAATGATAGTCTGTCGACAATAGTATGTATTTCTTGAGGGAATTACAAAAAAGAATCTTTATGTAGCTTTAGGGGAACATCTTAATAATTATACTGGCAAACACTACTCTAAAAACTGTACATATATTAACAGATGTGTATATTTAGTAATTTTATATGTATTTAAAATGTTATTTAGACATAATCTCTCTATATTTTTATTCTTAAACCAAACACATAGGTAAATGACACTTCCATATGATGTTTACTCTGAATGTAACTCTGGAGTGGGATTAAGAATAACTAATTACATCTCACTTTTTTCTTTCCTTTCTCTAATTTAATATAGGAACTTGAGTAGATAGCTTGATTTTAAATTGTTATATGGGGTTAAAGAATGAATAAGCAAATTACATGAAAACATAGTTGGGAAGATAATTTTGAAATTATTACAGATATCAAATAAAATATTTTATTTGACAGAAAAATAATCATGGTAGAAATAAAATAATAGTGCTGACAATATTTTAAAAAGAGATCCTCTTTCATTAAGTATCATCAGTAATGCAGGTAATAGCTAAGAAATGAGTTCCCTAAATAAATATATTCCAAAGAGGGTCACCATAATTGATTTTCAAAAATAAGTAATATCATTAGTTTTCTTTAATAAACAAAATCATTCTTTTATTTCCTTTAGAAAAATATTTATTATAGAAGTCCCATCATTAAGAGGTCTCTCTCTATCCAGAGATAGGAAGGGTTTGCTAAAGAGGTTTTCAAGCCCTTGGGTCAGCACAACTAGGGAATTTATAAAAGAATTTGAAGGATCATGAAAACTAGACTTGTAGGCCCCCAGTTATGTGATAGTGTCTAGTGGTACCTTAGAGACTCTGAATAAGGCTGAGCCCTCATTCTTCATTTTTTGAGACCCCTTCCGTTTAGCCTTCAACCAAGAAGGAGATGGGAGATGAGTAGAAGTGTGGGAATGTGAGAGATAGTAGAGGGTTGAAGTGAGACATGAAAAGGTTAATGAAAGGGAGGAAGAAACTAACACTTGATTACTTACCATGAACTGGCTGAAACACTCCAGATTAAACTTATATGGATCAAGTTTAATAGTAACTTTAATAGTTGAAATGATATCCCTTTCTATTTTGGAAGAATTGCTAAGTATGAGTTTTCAAATAAGAATAAGTGCCATACTATAATATTATAATTTTTTTCCTCAGGTATAGTTGAACATCTTATGATAAATGATCCATTTTTCTCATTAGAAAACTGGCAAGAAGTGGCAAATATATGTATACAGAATGGCTTTGACAAATTATCTCACGACATCATGTCCATCCTTCAATCTCAGGCTGGCATAACAGAAATTTCTGAAGAGGATGATACAGTCAACTTAATGGAACATGTTTTTTGGTAGTTCCATGTCTCAACCAGTTGAGGGAGCTTATATAACATTTTATGTGTATTGGTTGGGCAAGCTGGTTTTGGCATAACTAACTTATAAATAAATCTAAAGTATGAAGCTCTCAGAAATAAATCATGCTGTTTTTGTTATGATGATTTGTCCTTGAAACATTTATACCGTTGCTTTCTTTTTTCCATATGATCATTTCTGATATTGAATCTTGATAAAATCCAAGAATATAATTTTGTATAAAACTCAGTTTAGGCAGTTCTATCTAAGGGCATAAGCTAATATCTAGATATATTCCTTTCTGGGGATCTAGTTTTATAGTAAGAACTGAGGAAGGTGTGAACAGTATCCTGTCAGACTAATTTCCCAAATAACAAATGCTTTGAGACTGATTTTTAACAAGAAAGGCAGGATGTAATTTCAAGGTTGGACTCACTGGTGAAAACCTACAGTATAGTAATTTTATACTACTGATTTAAAGATGTGTCCCTTGCTTTGGTATATGTAAATGGCAAATGCTAGACTTCTACTATAAAAGTTAGGAATCTTAGCATGTTCTTACCTAGAGAGAAGACCAGCCAAATTTTGCATGAAGTAGAACTGAGATGCCTGTAGGTATGGAAAATATGTCATGAGAAGTGGTTTTGGATGATTTCAAATGTCTGAATAAGTATGTGATGGAATACTAAGAGTTCTGTGTCATGGTCAGGTAGGATATTCAAAATATTTAGTGATCAGTTTGTCACGGGCACCCCCAGTCAAACAGAACAGATAATCATAACAACTTTCAGCCCTTATGCCATACCAGCTGAATGTCAGCCTTGATCACGGAACATGGTAACAATGGAGCTGCTATTAGGTGGAGTCAGAGTAAAAAGTCACCTTTTCCCCTACTAGAGTGTCTGTTTTTTACTTTATAGCGGACAGAATATGAACTTGGAATCAGACAGCCTTGTATTCAAATTTTGGTCTTACCTCTTCCTCTTTGCAAAATGTGGGCAGTAATACTTCCTCTAAAGCTTTGTCATGAGGATTAGTGATATATGTGTGTAATAAAAGTATATAACATAATGAATGAATTTCGTAGAAGATAACTTATTTGTATGTAAGTCCCAGAAATACATATTCCTGTTCTTGGCTTATACTTACTAAATCCCACATATCTATCCATTTGTATTTATGTAATTATCCTTCTTTGGAGTATTTGATATGTTGACATACCTTTATTGAGCTATCTGTCCACGCTTATATTAGGATTGCTTGGCTTATTTTACAAATCCTGGTCTTGTACATTCTATGGGTTTGGACAAATTTATAATGACAAGTATCCACTGTTACAGCATCAGAATAGTTTCACTGTCCTAAAAATCCTCTGTGCTCTACCTATTCATTCCCCATGGCCGAAGATCACATAGCAGAGGTCATGATAAACTAAATTTCTGATTAGGTGTTCTTTCTACTATGCCAGCGAAAGAGAGGAAAAACATTTCTTCCAGACTGATGTCAGAAAGATTTACTTGTACTTACACGTTTATCATTTATCAAAATGAATTTCCATTAATTTCATCTATTTGGAAAGGTTTAGAGGTTTTCTGAAACAAAAATTTAATCTAATGAAAAGTTTTAACATTTAGGACTTTTTCTAAATCCTGGATTAGTTAAGAAATAACCATTATATTCAATCACTTTTTTATTTTTTTTATTTCTTATTTATTTATTTATTTTAAAGTTTTATTTATTTATTTGAGAGAGAGAATGAGAGACAGAGAGTACAAGAGGGAAGAGGGTCAGAGGGAGAAGCAGACTCCCTGCTGAGCAGGGAGCCTGATGTGGGACTCGATCCCGGGACTCCAGGATCATGACCTGAGCCGAAGGCAGTCGCTTAACCAACTGAGCCACCCAGGCGCCCTCAATCACTTTTTTAAACTTAACAGATGAAAATGTTACTTTTTAATTGCCTTCAACTCTGTTAGACTGCTAAAGCATAAGTTAAGTTAAAAATCAAAGTCAGTCCTCATTGGTTATTTTTTTTTTAACTTTCTCCATTTCATGGAAATTTCTTCCATTCCTTCTCCGAAAAAAACCAATTTTTTTTCTTCAAGTTTTTATTTAAATTCCAGTTAGTTAACATACAGTGTAATCTTAGTTCCGGGTGGAAAAAAACAGCATTTTAACAAAGTTGAACCACTGTAGCACTACTGAACATATAAAGTTGTCAATTTGCTAGTAGTTATAATTTGTATTTTGAAAGGTACTGAATAAAGGTACTATTATTTATGTAGCAATCTCCTTTTGTTTCTTTTTTTATTGTTAGTTATCTAAGGTAGCCTACATGTCTTGGAATCTGTGTCAATCTCTCCTTGATGTTCTTTTCTTAAACTCCAAACTGAAGGTCACTCAAGTTATCTATAGAAGCTGGTACTACTGTAAATTAGTGAGGTGTTTAGGGGCAGCTGGGTGGCTCAGTTGTTTAGGCGTCTGCCTTTTGCTCGGGTCATGATTTCAGGGTCCTGGGATCAAATCCTGCATTGGGCTCCCTGCTCAGTGGGGAACCTGCTTGTCCCTCTCTCTCTGCTGCTCCCTCTGCTCATGCTCTCTCTCAAATAAATAAATAAAATCTTAAAAAAAATTAGTGAGGTGTCTGAGAATCAGGGATGGGGGGATCTTGGGACTTTTCAAAAGGGACAACTATAGTAAGTTCCAGTCAATTTTTGTCATGCAGGATTATGGACTCATAATTACCCTATCAGAAGCTGGAAATGTTGATTTGATGTGAGCAGTCCTGATTGTCAGAGTACTATGTACGCTGAACAAAACACATCTCCAGATTAAACTTGACCTGTAGGCCTCCAATTTGAAATCTTTCCTAAACTCAGGAGGCCAAATTGAATTTCTTGTTTCCATTAATTTTATTATTAAAAAATTTTTATTAAAAAATTTGTTAAAGACTTATTATCTGAGAGAATGAGGCAGAGGGAGAGGGAGAGAGAGAATCTCAAGCAGACTCCCCACTGAGCGCGGAGCCCCATGCAGGGGTAGATCTCACAATCCTGAGAACATGACCTGAGCCTAAATCAAGAGTTGGATGCTTAACCAACTGAAACATCCAGGCACCCAATTGTTTCCATTAATTTTAAATGAAGCTTTTTGAGTGGATAAAGGAAGTAAAGAGCCACCATGTTTTCTTAGGAAAAGCTGCTGCAGAATGCCCAATTTACTGATGCCCTGGTAATAGAAGGCAGGGTTCTTTAAAAGTTAGAGCTATTATGTGTATTGCTGGTCTAGAATGGAGGCCATTTCGATGTCTAATGCCGTGGAACTTGGAAAGTAGCACAGATGCAATTTGCATGTAAAAGGAGGGAAAGATAAATTCTCTTTAAGTAATTTTAATGCCCCTTTCTCTCATGCTAATTAGTTTGTCAGTATCCTTCCTCAATTGTATTGCCATAGGATAGTAAAAAAGCAGTATTATAGTTTTTAAAAAGAGGTTATTAAGATACGTTTTGAAGATTTTCCTAAATTGATCCTTGTTTCTATTTAGTAGAAATTCCATTATGGCTGTGGAGAGCTGCCATTATCATGTATTTTCAAACTGCCTACAGGAATAATTACCACTATATGTCTTCAGTCCTTCATTGAGTTTGTACTTTCCCGTCAAGTTCCCAAGTGGATTGATGTGTTAAAGCCACTGAGGAGGATCTACCTTTTTCATCTAAGGAACAAACAGTTGCATGGGTTATATCGTTATTTTGTTTTCTTGCATTAGATCATGCAGGGCTGGCTTTAGCTGGATTTGTGCTTAACATGATGTGCATGTCAGCCTTGAACTCCCTGGTTATACACAGATCAACATGTCTCATCCAATTCCTTACCATACACATATGCTCACAGTTTGAAAGCACAGAATCAATGTGAGAAGGTATATTTTGGAAGCAGCTCCCACCAATGGGACTGAATTATCAAAGATCTCTGCCAAGTTGCTTAAAGATCTAGGCATTTATGGGTTAGCAGTCATGAGTTTTGAATTGCAAGCCTTCACCAGTCCAGAGAGCAAACAGTCTGCTTGTAAAATCTGCATGCTATTTTATTTTTGCCCAACTTCTCTGGGGTGAGGACTTAGATTGATCAGTTCCTGAACACAACATCACAGTCACAAAAAGATAAGTATTATATGATTCCATTTATATGAGGTACTTAGTAAAAAATCATAAAAACGGGGTGCCTGGCTGGCTCAGTCAGTGGAGTATATGATTCTTGATCTCAGGGTTGAGTCTGAGCCCCATGTTGGGTGTAGATTACTTAAAAGAAAAAAAGTCATAAAAACAAAGTGTAATGGTAGTTTCCAGGGACTAAGGGGAGGAGTTATTGTTTAACGGGTACAGAGTTTCAGTTTTACAGAAGGAGAGAGTTATGGGGCTGGATGGTGGTAATGGTAGCACATTATGAATGTATTTAATACCACTGAACTGGACACTTAAAGATGGTTAAGATGGTAAATTTTGTTACGTGTATTTTACTAAATTAAAAAAAACAAAACAAAACTCTGCTCCTATAACAGCTCTGTCCCCAACCCCATGTAGTTGATGTCACAAAATTACATTTTTGAACTCTGTGTACCCAAAACCATCAACTAATTCTTGTAAATGCATTAGTCTCTTAAAGTAGGTAGAAAACAAAATTAGTTATAACCAAAGTTATAATATTAGCTTTTAGACTAGTAATTTTTTAAAAATGTATTATTCTCTCAAGTCATGCAGATAACAAAAGGTAGAGTTACAAACCTTTCTTACAGTAATAATAGTCCTTCTAATTGCCTAAGTATTTACCTTTATTGAGATCTTGATTTTGTCATATGGCTTCAAGTTACTGTCTAGTGTTCTTTCATTTTACCCTGCAGTAGTCTCGAGCATTTCTTTCGAGGTAGGTTTAGTGGTGATGAACTCCCTCAGCTTTTGTTTATCTGGGAAAATCTTAATTTCTCCCTCATTCTTGAAGGACAGTTTTGCTAGATGTAGGATTCTTGCTTGACAGTTTTCTTTTAGCACTTTAAATAGCACTGCCTTCTGGCCTCCAAAATTTCTGATGAAAAATTTGCTGATAATCTTATTGAAGACCCCTGGTGTATGATGTCTATTTTCTCTTGTGGCTTTCAAGACTCTTTCTTTGTTTTTGTTTTTTGAAAGTCTGATTATATTTTTCCGTGTGGCTCTCTTTGAGTTCATCTTACTTGGAGTTCCTTGATCTTCTTAGATGTTTATTGCATGTCTTTCATCACATTTGGGGAGTTTTCAGCCATTATTTCTTCAAATATTCTCTCGGCTTCTTTCTCTATCTCTTCTTCTTCTGGGACTTCCCTGATGCATACATTGGTCCACTTGGTGGTGTTCCACAGGTCCCTTAGGTTCTGTTCACTTTTCTTCATTTTTTACCCCTTTCTGTTCCTCAGACTTGATAATTTCTATTGTCCTATTTTCAAGTTTGCCAGTTCTTTCTTCTGCTGAAACCTGAATCCCTCTAGTGAATTTTTCATTCCAATTATTCACTTATCAGTTCCAGAATTTCTTTTTGGTTTCTTTTTAGTTTTTCTATCTCTTTATTTATTTCTATTTTGTTCAGACATCATTGACTTTTTTCATGTCTTTCTTTAGTTCATTGAGTGTCTTTAAGACAGTGATTTTAAAGTCCTTGTCTAGTAGATCTGTTATCAGTTATTTTGCAGGGGCATTTCTGTTGATTTGTTTCTTCCTTTGAATGGGCCACACATTGCTATTTCTTTATGTGCTTTGTGACATTTTTGATGAAAACTGGATATTTGAATCTATTGATGTGGTAACTCTGGAAATCAGATTCTCTCCCTTCCTTAGGGTTTTCTAGTTTTTGTTTATTGTTTTTGGATTTTGGACTGTCGTAGGCTGTCTCTGTGCCAAGGATCTGCCTGAGGTGTAAACTTAAGGTCTTCCTAAGTCTTTCCTGAGCCTGCTCCTTTCCCTGGGTGTGCATGATGACTTTCTAATTTTCCCTGTATATGGAGTTGCTTTTGAATGTTCTACTCTTTCATGTTCAGTTCCCAAAA